AATAATAAAACACGTATTTAATTGTATTGGAGAGCATTTATACCAAGTTTCAAGTAATGCTGAGATTATAAATATTTTTTAAGTTGTATTATAACGTGTTTTCCCGTCGGAATGAGATAATCTCACGCGGTAAAAAGTAGCCTATGTCACTCTCCAGCCCTCCACCTACCATACAAAAAATCATGCCAATCCGTCACTCCGTTTCGACGTGAAAGAAGGACAAACAAAGAAACACACTTTCAAATTTATAATATTAGTACATATAGATATTATGTCGTGAATGGGCTGAAAGTAGCACGAAATTTAAAAGTACGATAAACATGTGTATGTTGTCTTATTTACATGGAAATGTTGTTAATATATTTATTATAAATAATTAAAATAATAACGATTCATAATAACATATTAATAAGGTGTGTATAATATGTGTTTACAGATATACATTTTGAATCGCATATGATGACAATAAAAAGCTTCGACAAGCCTAATTTAATAATCTAACTGTGGTATTTTCATTAGGTATAGCATGTTGCAAGTAACACTTTTCAGTACTATATGAATTGGGAAGTGACAACATACAATCAATTTTATCGATAAAGATTTTCTGAGTAAAACGTCAAAGAAAAAATATTTTAAAATATCGTTATTAATAAGAAACCCATGTTTTACTTTTGGCACTCTTAAAAGCCATGAAACTAAAGAACTGAATTTACCGTTACGTAGAGCCTTAGCATGTCATTTAATTTTTTTGTTCTTAAATTTTTATTTAAAAACAAAAAATCTAATAACGTACAAAAAGGACTCTCCACGATAATAATGAATGTAAAAATAAATAAATATTATAAGTACCTACTCTTATATATTATGTATGTCTGTATGGAAGTTTGTATATATGTATGTTTGTTACTAGAGTAAAACATTGGGTGACGTCCATTGCTTGTAGAACATGGAAAAATATTAAGTAAATAGGTATAGTTTTTTTTTAATATCATATTTTCTTCTTATAAGACAGTTATTTATTAGGTAGATAACTTAACGCAACCTACCCCCTTTCCTGTTTGTTTATGAGTTGCAACTTTTACATACTTTTTTCAATATGACTCCAATTTAAAACATTATCATAACGCAATAATATTACTTATTGAGTCAATAGATTGCAATCACACATTTATTCGTAATAATAGCAATTATTGTGTTAATTCCTAAGTCCTTGCTGTAATTACGCTGTATCTATACAAGTTAAGATTTCTTTTATCACGGTTTTACAATGTGCTCTATCAAGGTGATCTATTGCTCATCAATTACATACATGAATAAAAAACCTATCTATATCTATCTATACATATAATAATATTCTGAGTCGAATCTGTACATTAAATATTTTTGGAAAATCTTATTGAAATAGTCAGTATTATAGATAGGTACTTAAAGAGTCCTAATCTATAGTTTTTAGAATTTTTGTCTGACCGTCTGTCTGATAACGCATCACGAGAAAATCACTGGACAGATTTTGATAAAATTTGGTATGATGATAGCTGGTTATCCGGGTCAACATATAGGATACTTTTTACGACAGGAAAACATCTCATCTCTGAGAAATCTATACTAAACATAACTGAGGACGAACCCGAGTGGAGTGAGGGAGTCCCTAGTTAAGGAGTGGATATAATACTCGTACAAGATGCATCGAAAAACATTGATTGGGTATTTTAACTTATTTATTTCATTAAACAAGAAAATTTACATAGTTTTAATTTTAAAAAACTTTTCTTACTGACTAAAGAAATAAAAGGGGCCACTAAATTTATAAATTTAAAAAAGCTTTCTATGACAAGACAATCGTGGCAACTGGTACACTTGGGTATGCCGGAAGTCTACAAAAAACAAGGAGATGAAACAAAATTACAGAGAGAAATAAATTCTCATTTTTTTGTTTACGCTACTGCAATTAAAGTTTTATAAAAGCTAAATCATATTTAAGTAAAAATCAACCATAAAACCTGGATTTATTTTAGGCTTACGTGACATCTAAGCTATTATTTAAGTAAACAATTTACATAGAGTCAATTATAATATTTTTTATACGAAAACGTACCTTATGGTTACGAGATAAAGTTTATTTTGACTAAATTATGATGATTAAGTGTATTTATGCAGGGTAATGAGCGTATTTTACTTTTACTTTCGATACATTTTAAAATTAACCCTAATGTTATCTCATTACGGTTGAAAGTTAATATAATTATTTTAAATGTGAAGGTAGATTATTATCATTCAAGATCAAGGGCAATTGCATTATTTGATACAATTAGAATTGTAATTATTCGCTAAAAATTAACTTTGTTTACATGCGCTAGCAGAAAATAGTTTGTTTGATAAATAAACGACACGAAACCATACTTGAATAAAAAGTTTATCAAATATACCAGTACTCGTATATTAAGTACTAGAGACTCGCCCTCACATCGCTCGGGTTCGTCCCCAGGTTGATTCCCCATACAAACTTTCATCCCCATTTTCACCTCCATAAGGGTTAATTTCCAGAATTAAAATTTCATCTAAATCGGTCCAGTAGTTTTTGAGTTTATTCGTTACAAACATACAAAAGTTTCCTCTTTATAATGTTAGTGTAGATAAAACTATAATTAAAAAAATATTTGTGCACGTACTTTTAGTTTCCAGGTGACTAAACTGACCCTTCTATTGACGGTGACAATGACGAACTGGAAACTTGCACGTCGAAAATGTCTATACCCATCCATACATGAAGTCTTCATGATGAAGATGCAGATAAATAAATACATGTATTGTATTCAGCCCTTTTGAACGTCCCACCGCTGGGGGTGGGCCTCCCTTCAGTACGAGGGGGAATCAGGCCACCACGCTGGCCAAGTACGGGTTAGCGGACTTCACATGTCTTTTAAAAACTTGCTAGGTTCTCTCAGACATGCGGGTTTCCTCACGATGTTTTCCTTCCCCGTTAAGACAAGTGGTAATCATGTTGGAAATTATTCGCACATGAAAATATCAGAGGTGCGAGACCTGGGATTTGAACTCGAGAAAAAGCGAGCGCGTTACACTGGGCTACCACTGCCTTATGCAGAATGCAGTTATATGCTTACATTTTTTGTGAATTTGTTTTGTGTGTTACCGAAACAGTTTCGAGTCCTTGGGCGTGATGTTTTGTCAATACTGCTATTTACCCACGGTTTAGCTTGTGGTTTTCTTTGTTTTTTTTTAATATTCTAGATAGGCCATCCATTGATAAATCCAGAAGTAAAATATTACTGATATATGACATTAAAGTTGAACAATTAACGGGATAAGAAGTGTTCTATGTGATAGCTGGTAATTTGTGTGTCAAGTTCCCGCCAGATTCATTTAACAAATTTGCGTCATGAGTTGATTACAGTTATAACCATTCTAACATCTGCAAAAACTTTCACATTTTTAAACCTAATATTAATTGTAGAGCTTTTTTATGTATAGAACCGAATATTTACGTGCTATCATGATGTGATAACCGACGTATAACTGAGAACACATTAAGATATTATTTTAAACTTTAAAAGAGTAAATCGACGAATTAAAAAATTGTTTCATACTAAGCAAATAAATCTCTAAAATTTAGATTCTTAATAACAATAATCCTTTCACATGATATTGTGTAAGGATAGACACTATTATTATTCAAACTTTTAATTGTGATCTATTAATTGGCAATTACTTTTTCTCAATGAAATTGTAACTACTTAAGAATCGTTTTTGTTTAAAACAATTATCTATTTATTGCAAAAAATGTGAACGTAAGTTGCCCAGTAAAGGTTTACTGGTCCAGACTCAAAGGCAATGGCTGATTGTGTACACGTCTAGTACTAGTGTTTTAATTAAAAAAAAAATAGTGTTCAATTTAAATTAAGACGACATTAAAGTGATGTTGGAGATTTTTTTTAAAGATTTCAAGTTACAATGGCGTCAATATTTATTTGCATCGTTAGGTAATTTATTTTAATTTTAATTATGAATAATAATTCTCATTTAATTATATTAAATATTAATTATTATTTTTATTAATAATTATATTCATTTATGAATATGGTCACGTTTCATCCATTAATATTTGTATATCAATATTTGTTTCATCACAATATTATTAAATTATTTTTTTTAAACATTTAAATTAAGTATTTAAAAAAAAAGATTTCAAGCAGTATGAATATGATTAAATATTTTTAAAATACCTTAAGCCAAATAAAAAAATATTTTAATAATAAATAATTCTCAACTGCTGCGTAAAAAGTTCTTAAAAAACAAAACTTCATCCATGACACTTTTTTTCAATATTGGCGATAAGCACATTGAAGATTATTTCATTCTTTGAAATTTTTATAGATATTGTTGTACATACCACCATACCTTATTTCCTATTTCCTCGATAATAAATTTAACCGTGTGTATGGAAAGACAATAATTTTTTATTATTCATATTATCCACAGAGCGCAAGTTTTGTCAAGGATAGCAAGTTGCAACGAGTATCCGCGTGCATATTTAGTCATTTTAATAATAATTGTATCATTTATCAACAATAGTAATTATTTTGTGATAAATGTGTAGATACTACGTTATAAATCGTATTTTATGGACACCTCTTGTTACTATGCAAATCATTTGTTTTAAAACTTAATATAATTTTGCTAGCTTGCTTAATTATAATTTTGAAAGGAACTTTTCCAAAGAAGAAAAATTTTTTATAGATATAATGTAAGGTGTATTATATATATAAAAGTTTGTGTATATGTGTGTATGTTTGTTTTGTGCTAAAAAGGCTAAACAAATAAAAAGTTCACAGACACACTATGACTTACTCCAGAGTAATACATAGTGAAGCGACGGTAAGTCGCTAATTTAAAATATAAATTCAAATGACAAATATTTTTTTTTTATAAAAATTAAATTATAAATTCTTGTCATAGCGAGCTATGGCAGTCTCTGCACAGGGATGTCTATGGGATGGACTTCCCCTGTTTTTCCACAACTGAAATCAGCTAACTCGCCACTGCCACGAGCGCCAACACCACAGGAGGAATCTTGGATTGGTTCACTACTTGTACTTGGAGGATTACTTGGTAAGGATTTTTATGACCGATATAAAAATATTAGGTAATTAATTTTGTTGGTATTAGCGGTTTTAAGTTTCTGTACGTCAAAAAGAAAAAAATAACCCTTACAAAATCACCGGAGCCCTTTTTTTCAAGAATGTGTGGAGTATAAAATTGAAATTAATATCAAATATTCAGGTCTGCAATCCTTTAGGGCAGTAAAAAAATCAAACTTCTAAGTCAACGCAATCAAAAGATAGGGCATATTTTGATACTCGCAAGAGAATCAATAGCTACAGTACTTCCCTTGTACTTACATTCATGAAATATGTCAAGAAGCAATGTCTTATAACAGAAGTAAAGGGAAAATCCGTAAACCGTAAATTTGTAGTAACATCAGAAAAATTTTTTTTTGCGATTATAAATTATTTTAATGTTTTATGCTACGGAACCCTCGGTGAGCCAGACTCGCACTTATCTGATTTTTTTTAATCAATAGAGATAAAAAATTTTCAAAGAATGTAATCATAGTGTGTAGGTATACCTATACTCGTAGTATATTGTGTACCTCAATTATTCAATATATGTATTAAGTTCTAATTATATTTTAAAGGCAATTTAATTATTATTGAACATAAATAATAATAGCACTACAAAGATTTACGTATTTAATAACAATTTTTATTCTTCCAAATGATATATTTGTCTGTTATTATGTGTTTTTCTTTGTACAGAATATGGTAAGCTTTCTAGATTGTTAACGCAACTCTAAGCCACTAAAAAAAGAAAAAAACCTTTCCATATTTATGCCGTAAAGTGTCGATTAAAACCACTACAAACCAGACGCAGTGAATGGAATTTAAAAAAAATAAAAAACATTTTACAACAAAACCTAATTAAAACTTCGATCCATGCACAGCGAATTGTATCGCATTTAAAGTTTTATTTAATTAAAAGTAATTAAAAATTGCTTGTATTTGTGAATGTAAATACAGTTCGCTTAGGTCCGTACTTACGAGTAACTTGTAAAAAAAACGCTTCTTGTAAAAAACTTATTTTATTTAGAGCATCCTGTGGAATATTCATTTAATAGTCGTCATAAAGAAAAAATGCCAAATAACGGCGTAGTAATTAATACGTACCTAGCTGTTTATTTACTAATTTTATTGATGTTTTATCTGCGTTTACAATTTTCATAGAAGGAGTTTATTTATAAGGTTACAATAATCTATACAAATATTTTAAGAGACAGAGTTTGTTTGTTTGTTTGTTTGAACGCGCTAATCTTAGTAACTACGAATCCAATTTGAAAAATTCTTTTTTCATTAAATAACCCCGTTCATTGAGGAAGGCTGTATATCATCATGCTTTGCATGCCAAGGGAGCGGAGCAGTAATCATAAATATCAACAAATCGGGCAGACTTCTATACATTATTGTAAAACTGAAGTTTATATCGGAAGATCGGGCGAGGCCGCGGGTACAGCTAGTATTTTATAATAAAATAGGCAGACGCTAAAAATTGATATGAATATGGCTTTAGCTTTCGGGTAAGGGACATCTATCGTCTATTCCCGCAAAACGGAATAACCTAGTGTAGGGAACTCGACCTACCACTAAATGCTTAATAAATTAAATACAGTCTGAGATCGTTGTAAAGTTTATTGATTTAATTATATGCTATACTGATAATTGATGCTAATGAATGCAGCCGGTTTGATTGCTGTCCGAATATGCACTGCCTTTTTTAGGAGTGTTACTATGTAGGTGTTCGGTAACAACTTTGGACCGAACACCTAGACTAGCTCGAATTAGAGCTATAATTTTGAAATGGCGATATCTTTACTAGTACATATAGTAATAAACCAACTGTAATACATATTATACCTACACGTATTCCTTTTTAGGTCCATTAATAACAGTGCCATTATCTAATCGAATCGGTCGAAGGTTGATAATCATGGGGTCTAACATACCATTGCTCCTCGGTTGGCTACTGGCCGGCGTCGCCACGGACTTGCCCATGCTCTATGCAGCCAGGATAATGTGGGGTTGTGCTACTGGAATGCAGTTTGCCACTGTTCCTCTGTATATTGGGGAAATTGCTGAAGTACGCTTATTTCTTTATTTTAAGAGAGAGAGATGATTTAGAATGAAAGAAGGGAGAAAATTTTGAATATACTGTTTTAAATATTTACGTATAGTGAAGTAGCGGGGTCCTGTGAAAGGTTTTTTCAAATGGAGTAGAAATTGAAACGATAGATTGTGATTTGTGATATTTATGGTTTTATATAATATATATATAAATATGTATTAGGTTTTATATAATCATTAATTTTAAGTCAGAAAATATATAAATTTATCTCACTATCCAAGAATTATGCGAAAATCGCAAGAAGATGAATCGAATCCATTGCACTTTTCCTTTTTCCTTGCTTCCTTCCTTTGAAAACGTTTTAATTTAATGTGCATCTTTGACACAATTACTTTTTTATAGTTTGTTTATATAGCATAATCATTATTCATTGTACATGTTTATATATTATGTTTAGTTTTGTTTTAATTATGTTCCTGTATAATAATAATTAATAATGTATATCCTACCTACACATGTATGTATGTACCTACTTTTCTATCGTTTCTCTGCAAGTGTAGAGCAAGTGCTCTTTCTGTCCGTTATTTAATACTAGGTACTTCCCACATACAGTGATCGACAGGAAGAAATTTCTTTTAGAGATAAGTCCACCTTTGTCACGCCATTTCTTTTGTAGTTTTATTTAAAGAAACTTAGAAAAAATTGTATTAGAGATGTTCTATAAAATTAAGATAATTTTAATGGTATAGTTATTAGGCAAAATCATATTTTTTATATTTCAGGACAAAATTCGTGGATCACTTAGTGCTCTATTCCTTCTATTCATTAATGTAGGGTTCTTACTAGCATATGCTATAGGACCGTTCACTTCCTACTGGGGTTTGACCGGCGCGGGCGGTGTTCTATCATTATTCTATGTCCCGTTTACATGGTTTATTCCGGAAACACCATTTTTCTTAGTTTACAAAGGTGAGTGAAGATATAGTAATTTCTTTTTTGATATGAATATATTTTTTTGTATTTTTATGGAGATCGTCTTATCATCGTGTATATACAATGCTATCACTATATATTATAAAGTGATATTAATATCTCGGTTACGGGTTTCATTTTCGCTGGAGATAGAAGGTTTTTTTTTATATTGGACTGTTATTATAAATGCGAATGTTTGTATGTGTGTATGTTTACGTCAGTTACGGATTTGGATGAAAAGTACACCAGATATCTAAGGTAAGGTAAGGAGGTAAGTCAATGAGTGTAAGTAAGTCTCTAGTATACATATAAACAAACGTGAATCTGAATATTGCATATATGTTTTTGACACTTGATTACTTAAACTAATATATTGGTAATGATTTCTTAACAAAATGTAATATTTTTCATAAGTCGTGTTTCCGTCTTCCAAGATTGTACTCGAACTCATAAAATCATGATCAATACCCGTATAAGCTGGCTATTAGGAAATGTATTACGCTCAATAGCAATAAGTATTTTGTATTTCATATTAAACATGAAATCATATCAATTCTTACATGTTAAATCAAAGTTTATTATTATTCGAGCTGTTATCAGAAATTACTGTACGGATTGTCATAAGGTTTTCACCAATAGAAAAAGAAATATTCTAGAAAGAGATAATCTACACTATAGGCTATAATGTATGAACAATTTGTGAATATAAGCTACTCGTATTGGTAAGATATGTGTAAATTAAGTCGGATAAAATCATCTCCTCTGAGAGCTTTCGTAACAAATCTGAAGTGCATCTAAGGACGCTAGTAGGTAACAACATACTAAACTAAGATGCCTACATCTGTATGATAGGTAAAATCGAAGAAGCCTCCCAAGTCCTACAAAACCTTCGAGGCCTTCCCAAAGACGTGGTCCAGGCTGAACTGGAAGCGTTGCAGGCGATGGTCGTGAGAGAATTCAAAGTGGAGCCAAGAATTAAAGATCTATGGGCGACTAGAGGGAATGTTAAAGCCTTGGGTAAGCTTATTTGTGTGCTAGTTAAAATAAATACCTAAGCTTTTTCTAACTTCAAATTTATTTTTTTAATAAATAATTGTATGTACTTATATATTCAGCAAAAATTTTATGTATATATTAAACAAATAATTGTAGTCTAAGAATGTACCTAATTATTATTTTTTCTGTATTGTAATAATACTCATCTAGCAAAGATAATTCAATTATGAAACAAGCTTTATCGTAATATTTAATGACTTTCAAAAACCTTCTATTTCAAAGCCGATTCGAAGCCACTCAAATATTTTTAACTCGACCCTTAACTTCCCAGGGACGTTCCTTTGATCCTTTGGGAAAGTATTCCCTACGAATAACAGTAACAACAGACAGAAGTAAATAACAATTTATTATATATTTCAGGTATTTGCGTATTCCTAGCAATGTTACTACAGCTGTCGGGTATCGACGTGCTACTGTTCTACATGGAGGAGCTCCTGGTGAAGGTGGGCACGCGCATATCCCCATCAGATGGCACCATTATTATGGGAGTTGTTCAAGTCAGTACTTGTATATTATATTAATGTTATTTAGATTTATATAATAAATAATAAAATAATAAATAAATATTGGGACATTAACATACTGCACCATCTAGTTCCATGGTAAGCTACGAGGTTTGTGTTATGGATACCAGATAGTTAATACACTACACATATATAACTTCAAATACATACATATTATAAATATAAACATCCATGACTGAAGTACAAACACTCGTGCTCGTCACACAAATGAATGCCCCCAGCGGGACTCGATCCCGCGACCGCACCGCAAGTAGGGTTACTACAGACTGAGTCAAATGTGTCATCTAAATGTAGAGCAATGAGGGATCATATTTTGGAATATTTTTATACCTAATTAATTTTTAGGGTTCCGTTTCTAAAAGGCTGAAACGGACTGGGAACCCTTATAATTTCATCATGTCTGTCTTTCTGTCACAGATATTTTACTCGAAGACTATTTGAGCTACAAAATAGGTACCTATCTCATAGGAACCTCTAGATTATTCAGCAATCAAATTATGATAATATGACATATTTTGTTTTTCTTTTAACGTCCCGTTTATAGGCACGGGCCTCCCCTCTATTGAAGAGGAAAATTCACTTTAAAAAAAATATAAAATTCGTCAAAACCAATCTTATGAGTCCAAACTCCAAGGCTTTACATAAGTAAAGCCTTGGAGTTTGGACTCATAAGATACATATAAATGTAGTTATAGACAAGTTTCATTAATCATAGTGATTAATTGTTCCTAACTTCTTGACCCTCATGAGATCAACTGGTAACAATTTATTTTGTCATCCACAATTCACCTACTTACAAAGTTTCATATCAATTCAAATAACAACAGTTCAAATTGGCTTCCACAATATGATTATTTAGTCAGTGAGTCAGTTGCTTCGTGTATCAGTCAGTTAATTTTCTAGAAATACGTTTGTTTTTTTCATACAACAATATTTGATTATTTAGTTACTCAGTGAGTCAGACAGTCAGTTTGAGTGACGATCGAGTTAGGATAACATTTATTCCAGGTAGTAACAAGTTGCGTCACCCCGCTGGTTGTGGACAGACTCGGACGGAAGCTGCTCATGTGGACCACGTCGTTGGGACTCACGATATTCTTGGTAATTCAAGATTTTTATTATTATTTATTATAAAGTAGACTTTTGATTTTGCCGTTTTCATCGTTGTAATTGTAAACTTTAGGACCATTTTAATATAATTTGATTAAAAAATTTACACATTAAAATTGCTGTAATATATGCGTAGGTACCTCTATTTAAAAAGTTATGATTGTGTATTAGAACATAAAATACATACAATTTAAAGTTTTCAACGAGAGAATTATTCAAAAAGGATTTTTAAGAGATGACACCATCGATAATCTAGAACATAATCTACTTCCAAATTCTAGTAGGCCATTTTAACACAACTATTATACTTTATCACTACAATTTATTAGTATATTGTTTTGAATTTTGATGTATCTCTTAAGGTTTAGCCAGCGCGGCGTTAGCCATGTTTTCTAAGAACAACTCGATATAACAACTTATTGAGTTTTCCCGTGGAAATGAAAGTAATAAATATTCCTGTAGTAAAAAGTATCCTAAATGTTGAGGTTATCACACAAAATTTAGTTAGAGTACTTTTTACGTGAAACGCGCACACAAACACAAACAGACCTAAATTTTAATAACTATTGTCTGTATTCTGAACACAATACGTTATAGTCACTGTTGACACAGTCATTGTTTTTAAAAAAGATTTCACGTACAGATTTCGCTAAGTTACTATTTTATTATATGAATAGTATAGGGCCCCTAATAAAACTTCGAGATATTCCTTGCTTATATTCTTATATTCAGCACTTTTATAAACGTCAGTGAGTTACATAATTTATAATCATAATTTTCAGTATTACAAACAATTTGCGACTAGTCACTACAAGATGGTATCGACATCTCTCTGCAAAAGCGCGGGAAAACAAATGAATATCCGCGCCCTTTTTTATTTTTTTTAAAACACATTTCTATCGGCAAAGGTCACATAATTAAATGCCTTATACATAAATCATTACAAATTAATCAGTATTATTCTAGTAAAATACATATTTTCCAGGGAATAATAGGCATTTACGCGTTACTCGACTCTCACTTCAAGTACGACGTGACGTCGTGGGCTTTCCTGCCTTTGCTGTGTCTCATTATATACATGATACTGTTCACTTTAGGTGAGTTTTTTTGTAATATATATGTATATATAAAAAGTGCTAGCGCGTGTACGCACACACCGTCACACTCCTGTAGATTGTAGGCTGTACTGAAATATTTCTAGGGCTGCATTGGCTAGACACATTAAGATTGGAAATTATTATTAAAAATTATATATGTTGGTACATTTACACACAGCATCATCTAGTTCTATGGTAAGCTACGAGGCCTGTGTTATGGATACCAGACAATTGATACATTACACATATATGTATAATTTTAAATACATACATATTATAAATATAAACACCCATGACTGGAGCAAACATTCGTGCTCATCACACAAAAGAATGCCCCCCGCGGGACTCGATACCACGACCGCTGGTACATCAAGTACGGTCACTACAAACTGAGCCAAACGTGTCGTCAAATTGTTATATATTGAGAGTAAATTATTAGGTACATATATAAAAAGCACTTCGCTTCTTCCGCGTGCATTCGTAGTTGCCTAATAGAAGCCTATGTGTTTGTTACTCCAGTTTTTCTATCTACTAAATTTCATCTAAAACTGTCTAGACCTTTGAAGAGATAACAAACATACATACATATACAAACTTTGGTATTTATAATACTTCGATTTATATAGGTGTGGGTCCAGTGCCATGGATCTTGGTGGCAGAGATGTTCCCAGTCCGCACTAAGTGCCTCGCGAGCGGCATCGCTTCCTTCATGTGCTGGCTCGCCGGCTTTATATGGACGAGGTTTGTATACAGACAAACTCATGTTAATAAAGATAAAGAAAAATATCACTTCACAATACATAAACATTATTGTTATAGGTTTTTCCGTGATGTAGCAGCGTCGTATGGTATTTACACTGCTTTCTGGGTGTTGGCCGTTTGTTGTGGACTTGGCTTCATATTCTCTGTAAGTCCACTTCTGCCAGAAACGAAGGGGAAAACCTTCGACGAGATACAGGATATGTTGAATAATAAGTAAGTAAAATTTTAAAAAATAAACAAATATTTATAGAAAAATTAAATTTGCATTTAATAAAACAACATCTGTAAACTCTTTGCCTAAACTGATATTTCAATCCTCAGAAAAAATATGAAAATTTGATTTAAAAATGCATGATTTCATGGCCCTTTTATTATTTAGATATCAGTACTTTTAAAGTTAATCTGTACTAGTTTTTAATAAACATAAATAAGTAATCTATACAATAACGCTATCTAATAATATTTAATTGAACTAAATTTTATTACAGGAGCAATGAACCAAAACCAGTGGACGTTTAACTATTAATAGTCCTGAATAATAAGTTCGCATATTTTATTTTTGTATTAAATGTACCTTATTATTAATAAACAATATTTTCCTAATGTATTTTGTTTTATGACCAGACAGTAAAAACATATTTAAATAATGGCGCTACGTGTATATTAATATCTATACAGATAAATTGAAGTAAATCAAAATCAATTGAATGTAATGTCAAAATAACAGATTTTTACTAAATGCATATGAAAAAATATACGGTACTTATTAGAAAAACACAATTTTTAAAATTTTTGTCTGTCTGTTTATTCTGGCTAATTTCCAAACGGCTGGACTGATTTTGACAGGACTTTCACTGGCAGATAGCTTATACTGGCAGGTAGTTATAAGTAACTACTTTTATTTTAGAAAAAGAATTACGGTTCCGCTCAAAAAAATTAAAACGTACCTAGGAACGCACCCGAGTAATGCGTGGCCAGTCACTAGTATTACCACAAATACATTTCTTTTCAGGCCTCCAAATAAAACACCACTTTAGATATAATAATACATATTTAATATAAATCTTAGTCTAAATAAACATAGTATAAAACAAATTATCTCTGGAATTGTAATGGACAGATTCTTAGTCCTAGAACATCCTTACCAATTTCTGCTACACCACAAACTGGGCATAGCTTCCCTTTGTGTTCCGGCATGAAACTTGCCCCACACAAAGAACACTTCTCTTCTGGCTTACCTCTGTATATTGGCTTATAGCTAATACCACAAATATTAAATGGATTATGCTCATCATATAGCAACTGGTGTTCATCCGTGGGCGTCTTTTCGCAGGCTTGGAGTATTTTCCTCGCTTGTTGAGACACTTCTGGTCTAGGTCCAAGTTCTAGAAGCCTCCTGGCGAATGATGCAGCTGTTCTGTAGTTCTTCAGCTTGAAGAACATATTGAGAGCTGTTCTGAGGGTCAGGATCTGGTGGACTGGCTGTAACTTGCAGTGGGTGAAGTAGGCCGCCATTTCGCAAGTACGTTTTTGCTCTTCGAGTGTGTTTTTCGGCATTGCTGTTGAAAAAAGTATATATTACATATCTTCCATTCTCTAATTATATTTTTTTTTGTTTGCGTACTAGGTGTACGTATAAATGCTGCGCAAAGAATTATTATTATTATTACTAATCATCATAGCGTGATTTTAGACAGCCTATTCAACTTTCTTTGACATGTTAAGAAATACAAAAAATCTTTTTTATAATTAGCAAAGCTATCTTATAATATTAAATGCGCATTCCTTGTGTATATATGTATATAAATTTATGTCGTCTATCTAGCTAACTGCTCTAATGGTTTGTATGAAATTTTGTATTTAGTTAAATAAGGTTTTGCTTTATCTATACAGAGGTGTCTTTGCCGAAAATACGCCGATTGAAGCTCGATCGCTTAGATACTAGTAGTACATAAAAAACTAAACTGTTGGAAAAAGAAAAGAAGAATCTTATAACATCCGAAAATCCCCTACCTTTCCTGGCTGTCTCCATCTGCAGCCCCACCAGGTACTCCCTGCAGATGGTCAGCAGCTGCTGGGCCTCGGCCAGCTCCTGCTTAGCGTCCACATGGAGCAAGGGCACCGCTCGCGCCACGTACTGTAGGCGGTCTATCGCTTCAGAGAACTTGCCGCTTGTGGTCAGCTGGTAGCACTGCTGCAGGCTCGACACTAGGTCGTTTAGTTTCATTGCTGGATAGGAAATATCACTTATTATTAATACAATTGATGGAAAATTATATATGAAATGATTTTACTATAGAAAGAGAAAAAATGCGAAGCTATTTCATAATTTTGATTATTATCAGCACGGATAAATATTATCATGCCGATCTGTATTCTCACTAGCATGCTTTAACATCTATATCAATAAGGACGACGATCACAAAAAACACCAACTTAGCATATGAAATAAATCTTGGCCGGTGCAGGTGCACCAACGAACACACCAAAAAGAATCACAACTACAAAAAAAAAAAACAAATCCATTGAATTAACTTTAAACGAGCAGCAGGTCCCGCTCGCTCGCCTCCTTCCATTTAGGGCATCACAAAAAATTACAACTACAACAAAAAAGAAAAGAAAAAAAACAAATCCAATTAACTAAACACGGGCACATCTGTATCACTAAGAATCAGAAATACAAAAGTAAAAAAAAATGAAAAAAAACCCTCAGTACGATTACAACCACATCCAAAAAAAGAAAAAATAACAAACCAGACTAACTAAGCACGAGCACATATGTCTCACTAAGATAATCAGAACCACAAAAAAAATTAAAAATAGAAAAAAAAAACATTAATAAAAATTAAAGAGTGCGTGTATGAATGTGTACACACGCAAGAAGTAAAACTTCTCTAGATTATCAGTACTCTTTATGAAATTCAATTTATGTTTTAAGAAGTTACACTTCTTTAGTGTAACAGAATAAAAATAGCGAAAGATTTCACCCCGTATGTCACAACTCTTGTTTGTAAAAGGAATGATAAATTATAATAAAATTAATTAAATAACGCATACATATTAGGCATATTTCAGTCATATATTTTTAGTTAGAATATCATTTACGGAAAGAATATAATATTATACGAACAACGATTACCATGGCAACATGGCAATGTATTCTATCTAACTCTCGCCGGCTTAATCCTATGTGTGTTTGTCTCTTTCTAGTGTCGCATTTTCGTTTCATCGAGTTTCAAATCAAAACGATTCTAAAGAAGTTTCACTTCAAAAATAAATAAATAAAAAGTCACTAACTGAGCACCGGCAGCAGGTCGCGGCCGCTCGCCTCCTTCCAGTTGCGGTGCAGGTGCGCCGGCAGCGGAGGCGCCAGCGGCAGCGCGCCGAACGCGAGCCGAGCGCGCGCGAACATGCGCGCGAATGTCTCCTCGTACGCCGCGAACTCCACTATGCCCACTTGCTCGTTCAGCAGCCTGCAGGGTAAGGGAGTGGGGGGTTGGGTGCTTGTTTTATTTAAGGTGTGTGACGTACTTTCGTACGATATAAACGATCGAGAAATTTCAATGTTCAAATATTTTTGTTCTTTTATACACTAGTGTTAAAATTTTATACACATTTTTTTTTAATATTGGAGAAGGTTCCGGTTCCAGTAAAAAAATCACGAGGTCCCTGCAGGCCATTAACGGGCGGGGGACTGTGAGAATTCAACTTATTTAAATTCATAGAACCATCACCGCAGTGCAATAGACTGTTGCAGGGTAGATAATGTTCTGGAATAACATATAGATTACTTTTTCAACCGACTTCCTCAAAAGGAGGAGGTTCTCAATTCGCCTGTATTATTTTTAAACTGCCTCGGTGGTCTAGTGGCTAACATGTGCGGCTGCAGACCTGGACTTTGTTAGGTGTTAAGTTTAGTTATTCAATATTTCTGTTGAGAAAGATTCAGTAACAGCTTGGAATTGGGTAGTTTTGGTGGTGTTTCACCGTTTGTCTTACTGGCTATGTTCAATTATTACCTCACCGGTATGTGAGTACTTCCTGCCACCATCCCTAAAAAACCAACCTCATAGCGATCTCGAACTGCCCGGTGGCGACGTGGTCGTGCGCGGTGCGCAGCTTGGCGCCGAGCGCCGCGCTCACGCCGCGCGTCGGCGCCACGAAGTAGCCCGACTCCTCTGCACCGTCTATGTCCGCTATAAATATATACATATTAAGTATATACGAGTACATATATATTAGGTAGGTTGGTAGAACGAAAAAAAAATTTTTGTTTCATTTTCTTAGCTTCTTAGGGGAAGAATTTGTAGCTTATCTTAAAATAAAAAAGTTTTTTTTACAACATTTTGAAGCGGCCCAGTTACTTTTAAATTAATTAATTAAATTTTTTGGTTTGAATGTAGTTTTTTTTTAGACTGATCATCTTTGAAAACATTCAAGAATTGACGAATATAGTCATTCTCTATCCAACTTTCACTGTATTATATACTTTTTTTGTATTAGTTGAGTAGAAAATATTTATATTCATCAATTCTTAAATATTTTCAAAGCTGATCGCGCGAAAAAAAATCACTCAAACCAAAAATTTTAATTAATTATTTATTTTAAAAATGAGTGAGCTATCTCAAAATGTTGAGTAAAAAATTTGTTTTTATTTCAATAATTTTGTTTTTTTATAAGCTGCAAATTCTACACCCAAGCTAAGAAAATAAGACAATTTATTTTTTTCACTCCACCCTAATACATATACATCTTCTTCTTATATCAATAGATATTAATAATAGATATAAATAGGCACTAATTATTTCACTCACCAGGCACAGGAGCAAGTTCTTCAGGGAGCTCCAAGTCTTCATCTCCCACATCCCAGCCTCCATCATCACACGCATCTTCCATAACTTCACCATCGCCCTCTTCCTAAAATAAATAAAAATTGACAATAATTTAAATGTTTCAATAAAAATCTAATATTCAAAACAATTTTTGAGAATAAATGCATTTCATAGAAAGTAATAATAAAATACTTCAATAAAATATTTATTGGAATGGTATAAAACTTTCACATTTTAAAATGATGTACCGTAAAGACTACATTAGCTAACTTTTATTCTTGCAGCACATCATCATCCCCCGACGCACCACACTCCAACAGCTCATCACCCACTGCATCATCAGCTTCTTTAAAAGAACTTATGAGGTAACTATAGAAACCGAAGATCTTCACTCACCTTGTTCTCCTGCAGCACATCTTCATCATCCCCCCAAGCACCACCAGCCTCCAGAGGTTCATCCCCCACAGCGCCGGCCGCCGCCACCGCCACTCCCGCCTCAGCATCCGAGCGAGCACCGCCGGCCACTTCGAAGAAACTCCTGGGAAATTAAAAAAAATATATATTATTTACTATAGTTATTTCATCTATTTTTCTCACGTAACCATGATTGCTGTAAGGTATTCGAAACGTCTGGAACTAAGAATCAAAATAAATCCGCAAAAAAAACCCGAAAAGGTAGTTTTATTTATCTCGCACGTTCACGGGACATTTTGACCCTTACATTAGTATGAAATAGATTTTTTTTTTCGTGAACTTTTCCGATGTTTTAATAGTTATTCTGCTATTCAGGGTGAAGACAAATCCAACAAAACAAATATCATAAAAATCTGTCCAGCAGTTGTCGAGTTATAACTGTTGTAACAAACCCGACTTGGTTTTATATATATGTATAGATATCAAATGTTCGCATAAATATAAGAAAGTATTATATTCTGCATATTTTATATTTATACAAACTTACTTAGACACGGCCAATAATGGCCAGTTTGGTTGAGCCTTCTGCACGGGCAGCGGTGGACATAAAAACTCAGCATTCGGATTTGCTTCAGGTACGGGCAAATTAGCTGCTTCTAATGCTGCCTTTAATTGTTCGGCTTCTTCTAATTGTTTATGGTTTATCGCTGTTAGATATGCTAGGGATAGCTGAAAAAAAATTGTGAATTCATTCGTTTTCTACTTTGTAACAATCTAATATCCTAATGGAATTGCTTCATATATAGTACAAGGATAAAAAAGTAAATGTTAACCAATAAAATGACAAAACTCTGCTGCCCAGATATGATATGTATGCGAAAATTCACGTGCTCTCTGAGGCACGAGGGCGAAACACTACCAACTTCCCAACTCCGAACCCAAAATTTCTTGACATAAAATCCAATACCTATACATAGCCCGACCCAGGACTCAAACACAGGACTAGGAGAATAAATTACGATTTTACATTATCATATAGCAATCGTAAAAAACTCTTAAGAAATGCTGACTTCTACAAAACCACCCACACATCTCATCTCATAATTTACCTGTCCAGCATTCTTCAACAGCCTGATCCTCTCGGTCACATCGCCCAGGAGCAAAGCACCCTGGAACTGTGAGGACACGTCCTTCCTGATCTCTGCTATCTTCATCATCTTGCGCAGTTTGTCCAGATTGCCGGTGATGAGGTACAAGAACGAGAGCTTGTCGAAGTTCTTTGTACGTTGGTAACACATTTCCACTATCTGTTCACAGAGGTTATATTATTTTAGTATATTATTGTATTATTATTTTTATTTTACGTTAAACTTTAGTTTTTATTTTAATCAAGTTTTTTGGTAATATTCGTAACTATTTTTGAAGTTATATATCTTTTGGTACGTTTGGAACAAAAATATGAGATTAAAATTTTTACGATGCGCGCGCACACCGACAGCCAGAAAGCAATATCATGAAGTTAGTTGCATTCCTTTTACAAACAGAGAGTTGTGACATACGGGCTGAATGAAATCTTTCGCTATTTTTGTTTGTTACGCCAAAGAAGTATAACTTTTTACGAGCGTACAAATTCAACTTTGCTCACTACATTCATGACATCAATCATTTAATGAACCCCAATGCAACCTTCATGCATAAAGGTGGTTATGTGGGACTCATCATCAAAGCTAGTACTACCCACTAAAACCCAACGGAACCTCCCCCGTCTTAATGGTCACAGGATCGCTTCCACACTCAACTACGACGCCCCGACGACAGGTCTGCCGAAGCAGACCACAACAACCATTGGGTTGCTCCAACAGTCCACTCTGCTAACAGAGAAGTGCCAGTAGCAACGCGCATGGCACAACACCCACCAAAGTGAGCCTCCTTCTATTATTTTTCTTGGTTTCGCGCCCGGCTGGATTGCCGGACGCTAATGCCGGGTAAGAACCTCTCAATGATCCCAAACCAACCTGATGATTGCCAGTAGCCAGAGCAGCCTGCGCCAGCTGGTCCCAGGCAGCCGGCTCGTCCAGGCTCTTGGCTGCTTCGAGAGCCACTTCAATGTTGCCACACTGTAGAGCTAGGGAGAGTCGCGTGCGCGGGTCTTTAACGAAGTGGAGCGCTACTTCGGGATATCCTAGTATAACAGAGTATATTATTATATTCGCATTATTTAGATTATTAGTAGTAAGTTGTTTAGTTAATGGTTAGTATGGAATAGATAGAATATATATTATTTGTTTTTCAACTTAAACTTGACGCGTTTTTGTAGATGGTAAGTTTGCCACTATTGAAAGTAATCCGAAGTAGTGATTCCCATACAAGATAAACAGTTCTGAACTTTTCGTTACATACGAATATGTACATCTCGCGGCAAGGATGAAACGTGTATGTCTCCGACCGCATAATACTATATTCCTTCGTGAACTTGTTTTCATCTTTTTAGTTAGCTTTTATGCAGTCGGGTTTTTTTTATTTTTATAATATATTATTTTATATTAAGTATCTTTTTTTAGAAAGAGACACTTACTACTCAAGCAAACCGTAAACAACTAGTTAAACATAATAAAACCCACTCTTTATATAATACATCAATACAAACATAATACATGATAAGTACAAACGTACCCTTCTCTTGCAAATACGCAATAATACTCTGCCCCACGAGCTTGGCGGTGCGCACCATGTGCAGCACCTGGTCGTACTGGCGCGTCACCAGCGCCAACTTGAACCTGCCAACCAAATTGTATAACGGATAAGTCTAATTTAATTAAATTTTCTTGCTAATGGCTTCAAAGCGTGCTAATTGAGCAGAGATTACTTCGTCAATGTCACGTAGAATGGAGAAGACACGAAGTTGATTGATCGGTAAAATAAGATTTAATTATTTAAGCCCACCAAAATATGGCACAAGTCGAAAATAGTGGCGTGATTTTGTTGTTTTAAATAAAACTAGCTCTTTGGATTTTTTCGAGGATTTCATTTTCATTTTTGATTCCGACATTTCGGATGCTTTACAGCAATCAGGATCACGGGAGGCTAAATTTTTAGACATCTCTAAGGTTATTATAATATTACAGTTATTATATTATATAGCTATAGAAGTGGTTCTGAATATGGCATACTTTTTTATTTCATATTTAAAATAAATATTACTAATGCTTTATTCACCACAACAATTGGTGTATACTGTATACTGCACACCACTTCTTGCACACCACAATCGATATAACATCGACCAACTAAGTAACAAAATCGATATCTTCACATCGAATACCACAGGAAAATCGAAATACCTCCCTAACAAAATCGATATCCTTAAATCTATTAACACAACAAAATCGATATCTTAAAATAGATTAACACAACAAAATAGATATCACAAAATCGATTAAAATAACAAAATCGATATCCTACAAATCGATTAACACAACAAAATCGATATCCGACAACGCACCTGTACTCCGTGGGATCGATGTTGAGCACCTTAGGGCGCGCCTCCCGGTCGAGGCATACGACGCGCGCGCCGCTCTCGCTCGCAATCACCTTCACCGCGTACACCGGTACATCCAGCGTACGAATTATGCCGTAGTCGCTGAGAAAAATATATATATTATTATTATTTAAAACTGGCTTTGCTGAGTATCGACATATATTTATGGAGGTGGTAAGCGTAAATGCATTTTCCAACATTAAAAATAGAGTTTTAGTTGTTTTGAAACAAATAAACAAAGTTAGTCAAATAAAACTATCTTTTCGGATTATTAGACTGACTGACTGTCTCTCCCGTGACCATGATTGTTGTAAAGCATTCGAAACGTCAGGAACCAAAAATCTAAATAAATCCGCGAAATAATCCGAAAAGATAGTTTTATTTAAAATGTTAAATATTCGCATAAATCTAAGAAAGTATTAAAATTACTCAATTTAGTTGGCAATAAAGTGACATCACAGATTGCTATTACTATACAAAATCATAAAAAGTATGTCAATTGGAATCTACTATATAATTCTGAAATTAAATTCCTGTTAAAATCAGTTGAGCAATTCTTTGAATACTTGAACAGTTTTATGTTAATAATCGTATAGAGCTTATATATTAAAATTACAAACACACATTTCCATTTTATTTATAATTATAGATATCTACCAACATTATAAACAGAAAAAAATACTGTTTTGTATATATGTTTATTTGTAATGGAGGAACTAAAAAGCCACTGAACTGGTTTAGATGAAATTTGGTATGAAGATAGTTTAAGATCCTGGGAAGGACATTTATGATAGTTTTTATTCCGAAAATCATCCTTTAAGTGGGCGAAAAGCAGGATAAAAATTTATATGGGAAATCATAATCAGCAATGGCGTAAACATACCCATCCTTACAGCAATATTTGATATGGTTAGCTGTTGTGTAAATGAAGACGGGTTGTGGTGTAGAATCATCAAAGGCCCCGGACTTGACCCGAGCTCCTTCAGTGATAGAACAGAGTTGTTCCAACTTCTTAGTGCAAATAGTGACCGTGTGCTTCCCTAGAAGCGCCACAAGAGACATATCCGAATTCCATATGGCGTAGCGGCATTTTGATACTTTCACCTAAAACATTAAAAAAAATTTGGTATAATATTCTAATTATTATGCCACAGTGCTATTGCTGATTACAGATTTTTCTCTATTAATGCAAAAAATATGCTTTAAAATCACTAGTTTTCAGGTTGTTACACTGACTCCTTATTGAGTCCCATCCACTTGTTTTTATAGAAATTACAACATACAATAATTAAAAAAGAATGTAGTTTATTTCGGGTGATCTCAGAGTGCCTGAAAGTAGTCTATCTGTTACTTCCAGCTCATTGTCTGTCTGTGTACTAAGTTTCAAACAAATGCGTCCAACCGTTTCAGAGTAAAGGAGTAACAAATATACAAACATACATACAAACTTTTGCATGTACAATAGTAGTCCGATAGTATGCCCACCACACAATGGATATGGGCATTATAAAAGCCATAATATGCTGCTTGAAGAACTATATTTTTTAACTCCTTAAATTTACTATTAACGAAAAATCACAATAATTTTAATTCCAGATATTTTACAGCGATCATGGTCAGTCTCCCCCATGACTATGCAACATTTTTTAATTTCAGGCAAAAATTAAATTTTTGGTTCCAGACGTTATACAGCAAATATGTATTTTTGTAGTTTTACCCAAAAAAAAAAAAAACTTTGGTTCTAGACACATTACAGCAATCATGGTCAGTCTCCCCCATGACTGTGTAAGATATTTTGAATTTTAACCAAAAATCAATACTTTGGTTCTAGACACATTACAGCAATCATGGTTAGTCTGTCCCATGGACTATTTAACAAGATTTTTTGAGTTCTCCACCAATAACAACTCACACTAGCCACAGTCCGCTTCTGCTGCACATCCAGCAGCTGCACGCAGTCGGGCTCGCGCAGCAGCAGCATGCCGGTGCCCGCGTACATGATCTCCTCGCACGTCGGCGTCGATATCTTCTTAGACACTTCATTCTTTAAGTTCTTTATCACCAGCTGTGGGATTGCAGATATAGGTATATAATAATTGAAATAAATGTATGCAATTATAACATAATATTATATTGTTCACATTTATAAGTAAAGTGCACTTTGCGTAGCATACTATTTACATAGTAACTAAACATTTTTCCGGAATAAAAAGAAGTCAGCAGTAGCATATAGCTATTCCAGACTATAATCCACCAACCAATTTGAAAAATTCTTTTTATATTAGATAGCCCATTTGTTGAGGAAGGCTATAGGCCCTTGGGATAGATTTGTTTTTATTTAGGGACGAATCCGAAACGAAACGAGGGTGAGTTGCTAGTTTATACTAGTATTATAAGGAGGTAGTTTGCGAGTTTGTAAGGTTGTAGGGGGTAATCTCTGGATGTACTGAATCGATTGAGATTAAATTTGGCAAGAAGATTTTTTGAGACCCTGGGAAGGATATAGGATACTTTTTATCCCAGAAATCATCCCTTAACGGGGTGAAAATGGTGATGAAAATTTTTATTGGGAAACAAGCTAGGGGCGAACCCGAGCGAAGCGGGGTGAGTCACTAGTGTGTATATATACCTGATTGTTCTTCTCGAGCACGGCGAAGCGGTTGCGCGCGACCCACTGCGCGGCGGCGGCGTGCCCGCGCAGCGGCTCGGCGGGCGGCGCGGCGCCGTCCTCGCGCGGCGCCGCGTACAGCTCGTACGTGCTGGCGTCGCCCGCACGCCACGTCACCAGTACGCACCACTCCGCGTGGTTCAGCGACATGCTACATTATATATGATGGTCACCACACAAACAAACATACATATTAGGGTGGAACGAAAAAATAATTTAAAGAGTGTGTGTATGAATGTGTACACGCGCAAGAAGTAAAACTTCTGTTCGGATTTCGGTACTACTTTATGAAATTCAATTTATGTTTTAAATAATTAGGATCGGTGAGATACTAAAAATAACGCATACTACGACAATCATATATTTATAGAATATCATTTAAGAAAAGTATATAATATTATACATATATCATTTGTCGAACAATAACAACGGTTACCATGGCAACAAACGTTCGTACATTTTTCCGTAACGCATTCACCAGCTTACCGCCCAAGTCAAGCGTGCGTAAAAAAGTCTTACTTCAAAAAAAAATTCTTAGCTTGGGGGTACAATAAAAAAAAATTTTACTCTACATTTTGAATTTACCCACTTATTTTTAAAATTATTAATTTAAATTGATGGTTTGAATGGAAAATTCTTTTTTTACAACTGATCATCTTTTAAAACATTGAAGAATTGACAAATATAGTCATTTTTAACACATTTTTCCTTGTAATATTGCAATTTAAAAAAAATTGAAAAGATAACATATTACTTTTTGTATACTACAGTGTGTTATTTCAGGTCATATTTTAAATATGTACTAAATTTCTCATTCAAATTATTAATTATAATTTTACTAATAAATTAAAAAACAATAATAATTTAGTATGACAAAATTTACCTGTAAGGTTGATGTCGTCCGCCTCCCTTGATTTGCATGACCGGAGCGTCTCTGTTGGTCGACATATCCAATTTGCGCAATTGCCTTAAAAAGAAAAAAAAAATTTGTTAATTCATTTTAAGCAACGAATAAGACATTATGATAATATTAAAAGTTTTGGATACTAATAAACTTTTTTTAAAGAAATTACAAACATTTATGAATTAATCTAGAAAATTCATTACAAGATAGAAAAGAAACATTTTGTCACTACAAACTGTAAATAATCAGATTTTAATATTTCATATTTCAGCAATTAAAACTATCAATTATATAGCAATTTTTATAACTAAACTAAAGTTTTTTTTTATAAAGACATTTAACTAAAATATGCATTCTCAATTCTCACCTGTCTTTAATATAAAACAGCATGTTATTATGTAAAGCATAAGCTGGTCTTTCTCTTTGTAGTTTGAACAAAATCATGCCTGCATCGTGTCCCGCCGCAAAGAGGTTTAGAGTGGGGTGAGATGAGAGTACCCAGTACCTGTGAACAATAGGGTATATTAATGTATTTATTTATAAATTTTTAACCCCCGACTCAAAAATAGAGACGTTTTATGTCTAACGTGTGTATCTGGATATTTGTTTGTAGCATTGTAGCCCCCAAACACATGAACGGATTTTAATTAAGTTTTTTTTTTGTTTGAAAAGTGACTCTATTGAGAGCATTCTTAGTTATAAATTAAGAAAATCCGTTCAGACATTTGTAGCCTATCATCATGCAGTTCTTTTCCAAATGGTAAAAGGATGAACAACTTCCATAGATCTAATCTATTCGAAACTTGGTATCCCGTTACTTTAATGACATTGCCATGATATGATAACCTTGGCCTGATACTGCAGCATCACCCGCTATCTGCAAGATACTCAACTCTTTATTAAAATACTGCAGATATATTGTATTAGGGCTCACTAAAATGGCCTCAATTAATTTATTATTTTGTTGTGGATTTTTTAATTTTTAATTTGAGAGCATTCCATATCGCTAAAAATACAAACGCCTGTTGTTTTAATTTTTTTTTAAATATATAAATCGGAATTTTGATTGTTCCAAGCAACGTCATGTTCACGCGCTTAAAATGACATCTCATTCCATGCTTATATCATATTTTCTGAGTCATCCCTAAGTTGCTACTTTACTTTAGATTTTATTACCTTACCAGTATAAATATAGAAATATAGGTATAATAATGATATTATAGGAAATTTTACATATTTCCTGATATGATCAATGATCATGCATTATAAAAATATTCTCAAAAATCAATTAATTAATTGTTTATACACAGGAAACAAAAATGGCAATCGCAAACAAAAAGCAATGAAATCAGTAATTTTACAACTACCTCTATATTTAATATTATCTTCCACATGTCACTATCCGGTTCAAAGCACCGAAAGCTTTACTTGCATTTTCTTATTAAAAATATGTTATATTTCACATAATATAAAAACAGCATTCAACATAAATAAAGAACCCAAAGATTTATAATTCAATTAAACATTGATATTTGTCGGTTCTTTCCATACATTATGTGTATATTATGAGAATTACAAAAACTTACAATATTCTTAATTCTGTAAACTATAATCATAGAAGACTATTGCTCCATATGTATTTTTAGATACTAAATTACGGTAATATAGAAGGAATCTATACTAATATTATAAATGTAAATGTTTGTAAAAATGGATAGATGTTTGTTACTCTTTCACGCCAGGACGGCCGAACGGATCTGCATGAAATTTGGTACAGTGATAAATTATAGTCTGAAATAGCACAAAGGTTACTTTTTATCACGGCAAAATGTACGTTCCCGTGGGATAGATTTGTTTTTGTCTAGGACGAACCCGAAGCAAAGCTGAGTCGCTAGTATTATAAATGTACAAAATATGTACCTTATGATATAAGTTACTATACCAGTTTCCTCATATTACAAAACATTAACAAAAAACAATACATACCTCTCATGCTCCCTTCTAAAAGTATGTAAGCATGTCCGCTTAGTCATATCCCATACACGAATGGACTTATCCTCACTGTTTGACAATATCAGTTCGTGTCGCGCGTGGAACAGAGCGCATGACACGTTATTGTAGTGACCACGGCATGTGTCCACTTCCCATGCCTAAAGAAAAGAATATGTGTTATATAAATATCACGTGTCAGGGTGTTTGTGGTCGCACTTCACCGAAACGGCTCGACCGATTTTAATGACATTTTTTTGTATATTTGGTAGGTATACTCCTAACCCCATTTTTTAATCGCGATTTTAGTATTTTTGTATGAACAATAACCAAATAATTTAATATTATATAAATACATACGGACGAACTCGAGCGAAGCGAGGGTGAATCGCTGTATAACATAAAGAAAAAGTTTTTTTTTGTAGATCGAATGCGGGCAAAGCCGCGGGTTCTGCTGGTATTATTATATGTATTTGTATAAGTCGTACAAATAAAGAATGGGATTATATAAATGGATAAATAGTGTCTCCTTTAAAAACGTAATGAGCTACACAAAAATATACTAGCTTATTGATAGCACCAAATAGAAATTGTCATTGGACATACAAATCTTATTTAAGCCATATAAAATAGAGGCATCTTCTACTTTAACCTTCTGCCCGGAAACTAAAGTCAAGTAACTCAGGTCCGATCATCACACATCACAAAAATAATTGGATTTTCTACATTTTTAAGTACTTTGTTTCATTACAAGACATCATAATATGTTATATTAAAAATCATCAGTACATTATGAAAAATAGAGTTTTTGTTTTATAATTATAATCTTGTAGTGGCAGTGTGTGTGGGTGAATAATGCGTGTTCACTATATGTATGTATGCAGAGGGATAAGCATACGTCCAAAGTTACATATATTTATTATATTCACTTTAAGTTAGCTACATATATCCCTAGCACAATATATACTTTAATAATAATATAATTGACAAGTGAATCGGTAGGCGGTTACGGGACAACTGGGGTTCGTGGCGCGATACAAATGCTGTATAATCAAAATGTGCGCGTCAGCACTTCCACTACACTATTCCCCCCTTTTTAAAAAAAATATGAAACTTAAAATATGTTTAAATCATACATATCAAAAAATAGTTAATTATTACACCTAGCTTGTAACAGTACCATTCGCTAGAAAGGCACACACACTAAATTCCTATTGACTACAGGTCGGTTTTTTATAATACATAATAAAATGTGTAATGTAATAAATCTAACATTATATTTAAAGATAGAAATAAGTTTTTTTATGTTATTACTGAAATAATTTTTTGTCACTTAAAGGACACTGTGTTGATAGTTAGTACAAGGTCATTGAGTCATCATTTCTAACATCATTCTTTATTATCTGACCTCTGATAACATTAATTTGTTAAGAAAATTAAGACAAAAACAATGCAAATTCAATTTAATTTAATTCAAATATAAAAATGGAAATACATTTTGTTGTTGTTTAAAAAAAATTAACACACTTTGTATTATTGTAATAGCTGATCTCTTTGAACTAATTCTGAATAAAATGTAAAAACAGTCAGTGTAAATATTTATCTTAGTTAACATATATTTACATAGTATAAAATGAAGTCACTTCCGCTCTCTGTTCGCTTTGAACTTTTAAACTATTCAACGGATTTTAATGCAATTTTCAGCAATAGATAGAGTGATTCAAGAGAAAGGTTTTTATAATATATGCATATTATAGTACAGAAAAGCCAAGAAATTCAAATATTTGGATTTTATTCATATAAACAAAGAATACTCCAAAAAAATTCCATGTTAAAGTGCTAAATAATTACTTTACCTTAGCATCATTCATTCTCCACAGTTTTACTTGACGGTCATCGGCAGCGGAAACAATAAGGGGCAAATTTGGATGGAACGAAGCCCAGTTGACACCACGATCGTGGCCTTCCAACACATGTTTTACTACCGCATCAGCCTGTAAAACAACCAAGCACTCAGATATTTTTATTATATATCATTTATGAGTATGAACTTTCTATAAGAATAAACTACTTCTACTAATTTTAAAAGCTTCATACTATTTTATTAAAAAGGCAGTGGTAGCCCAGGGGTAAAACGCTCACTTGGGAAACCGACTAAAGCGGGTTCAAATCCCGAGTCGGTTTCATCCGAAGCCAGTGGGACCTTAAAGAGTGCTAAATACATCACTATTTTTTATAACATGCTACTACAGAAGAACATAAAATGTATTGCTTATCCTATTACTTACCCCATGAGAACACATAATTAATTGCACCATATGAACAAATTTTGGTTCCAGAATTCATTTTACTTTTACATTATATAAAATACTCATTATTAATACTCAATTTTATTTCATTAAAAAATATTGATAAAAAAAAACTTATACATAGATGTAAATTTCATAAAATTTACAATTTGTGTGAAACTAAATGGCTCACATTAAAGTTCATTAATATAATAATAATATCTTTAACATTTTAGGCCCAATCCTATTTTATATCACCCAAAAAGTTATTTTTACTGTTTTATGTCTATTAGCAAATATACATATTATCACAACTACAAGTACATATAGGAAGCTTTAATTTTAAGTAAATCTAAAAAAATAACTCCATTTTTACAGCCAACTAGCACCAATGTATGTACAATCTAATCTACACAAATGCTACAATTGTGAAAAACTACATCTACGAATAAATACAAACACATGCCATAATTACCATTACCTGTCCGAATAAGTCAGTGGCCTGGGGGTTCCTCAAGTGCTCTGCTAACCCTGTAGGGCCAGGAGCTACACTCTTTTTACGGAGACCAGAAAAGTCCCACACTCTCACAGATTGGTCTAAAGATGCAGACACTAAGAGGTCCTCAGTGGGATGGAATTGAGCACACATGACATAGTGGTTGTGGCCAGTCAACACACTAATGCACTGACGAGATTGCCAATTCCAAATTCTTATTGTCTATGAACAGAAAATATAAATTCAGTCAATTCCCTAATAATTTAGTTTCATATGTTCAATAAAAAAATGTAAAATTGTTTACTGTATGTCTAGACATACTAGACATAGAAAACACAGTAAGCTTTTAAATCTAAAGTAAAATAATAATTTTAACAATTTTAAAAATTTAAAATATAATGGTAGTACCTGATCGTCAGATGCACTCAATACCCATGGATACTCATGATGGAAAAAAGTTGTACGGATATAGTCTAAATGTCCCAGTAATGTAAAAAGACACCTTCTTTGCTTGTAATTCCATATCTGTAAAGTTTATGCAATATATTTTATTTTATTATTATATCATAATGTAGTATCATAAACATTATACCTGTAATGGTTGAACAACAGAATACTATTACCCAACCTTTCACCGATACACTTTTATAATTAATTTCATTAAAATTATTTATTTATAAGCTAATATTAGGTATATCAATATAGAAACATGTTACTCCTTAAAAGCTACTGTAAGCATTTTACCTTTATTTTATAATCGTCTCCACCAGATACAAAGAGTGGTTGTTGAATGTGAAAGCATATTCCACGTACAGGTCCATCATGCTCATCAAATTTCTCTAGCAACGTACACATACGATAATCCCAAAGCTGGATAACTCCATTGTGAAGACTGGATAAAACCCATGGCCTCTTGGCATGGAAGGATATACCTTTTACTCTTGCTGACTTTGTCTCAAATTTAGTCAGCATTATGAAATATTTCTTATGGTTATACTTTGTATTTCCAATACAATTACCCTTTAAATAAAACTAAACGCAAAGAACATCGACATTTCAAATGTCAACCCGGCTGACGTGACACGTCTAAGGTCTAAGTTAGTGATGTGTTGATCACAGACGATCAATTTACACTTTTCGTGGTTTAAGTCATCATCATACTTTAAAAAAAACCTTAAAATAGATTATAGAAACAGATTTTTAAAAATTACTTGTTACAAGAAACAAATAAGGAAAAATTGATCTAAAAATTGAATGTTATTTTGGTAAGCATTTCTAAACATTAATCTCGATTCTCAAGTCACTCTTGAGTCTTGACCAGTTTATAACTATACTCTTTAGTCTTTGGTCTTGACTCTAGAGAGAAATGTCAACTTTTGTAAATTAACAACATAACCTCTCTGATCATAACTCAAATCTCAATGTTATTGATGTTATTATCACTTTCAAACTTTAAATTTCAGTGAATAGTGTTAACAGTACATTATTTATACGTCGATTGTTTCTAAATAACATCAAGTTAAAATAACAAAGGATTAATAAGTATAATATTCTTTATAACTTTGTGGTTATTACCTGCTAAAATATGAATACAGAAAAATTAAAAGAAATTGGCAAGATTTGCATACCAGGAATGCGATTAAGTCCATCAGACAAAGAACATATACCTGGCCCTGGGACATACGAATTAAAAGGATACATATATGCATCTTTGGCGGGAGTTCTAAAACAAGAAGAAGATCCAGATACTAAGGTATTATGTCTAATTAACTGGTAAATTAGACATAATGTTTATTTGATTACTTCAAATGTGATGATATTTAATTATAACTATTTAAGAAATTGTTTATTTATTATTTTAGGCAACAAAAGTTTGTGTAGATAGCCCTAGAACACCCAGTATTTTGCCAATGACTGGTGATATAGTAACAGCAAAAGTAACAGTAGTGAATTCTAGACAAGTGCAATGTGTCATACTATGTGTAGGATCTTCAGTACTTGCAAGATCATACAGAGGTATATTAAAGAAAGAAGATATTAAGTGTACTGATAAGGACAGAATAGATCCATATAAGTGCTTCAGACCTGGGGATATAATATTAGCAAGAGTGGTATCCTTTTAAGAAAAAATATTTAGTCTATAAGTCATTTAGGAATAGATTTAATTTTATTATTATTTATGTTGTGAATAGCTTTTATATTGTATGATTCTATACATTTTTTAAAGTTGGTTTGTTTTTTTAAAGCATATAATTTACTTAACTTGTAACCAGCTACCTATGACTGAAATACACTGGTATCATCTTTCTACGGCAGAAAATGAACTTGGTGTTGTAATAGCAACTGCAGAAGGTTCTCCTCAAGGCATCACAATGTTACCTATAAGCTGGTCTGAAATGCAATGTCCAAAAACTCTTACAAAGGAACCAAGAAAAGTAGCTAGAGTAATACCAGAAAGTATCAATCAAACACTGTTTACAGCAAGTGATAAAGAAGAAAAAGTTCAAAATGAAAATTAAATACCTTTTATGAATATTTGTGTTTTCTATTTCTTTAGCATTAATATTTTCTCCAAATATTGATCAACAGCATTTATCAAATATTTTATTTTTTCTATTTTCTGTACAGAATAGAAAAGAATAATTATTAAATCCAAATAAAAATTAACAAAGATGTTCAGTCAATAAAAAAAACCTTTATTTATAGGTATGAGTAAAAAATTTTTAATTAATGGTGTTAGATTTCCATAGTAAATGCTAAAATAATAGCTATAATTTTGTATGAGTTTACAGTACTAAATATATGTACTTAGATAACAGTAACAAGTTTAATTACTCTGTCCCCTAATTCTTATTATTGTATATTGATTCTTCATCGTATTTCTTCGACTTGCTGATAGGAAATATGATCACTAGCAATATGTATGTAATTAGATCTGAAGAATACTGATCAAGGAACATATTTGCTTTCATATTGATGAAATGAAAAAAAATCTGACAAATTTGAGTCGGACTCGCCCACCGAAGGTTACGTACAAATTTGTAGGAAATCTGTTTCAACTTTAATTATCACTTTTTTTTTTTGAAATTTTCCTTTATTTGTGCTTTAAGACCTTACTTTTTCCCAAATTTCGTGATTTCTGGGTCAACGGGAACTACCATATAGGTAGGTTTTTGACCCAAAACCTATAGGGTACTTCCGGTTAACCTAGAATTGTCAATTTTGGTTAAAACTTAAAAGCAAGGTCTTCCAGCACAAGTAAAGGAAAATTCCGAAAAATAAAACAGAAATTGAAAATCAAGGTAAATTTTGTTACCTACAAGTTTCCGCGAAAATCTAAATTTGCCAAATTATTTTTTATCGTGGTGTAGCATTCGATTATGCATAATAATGAGAATCGAGTTAGGCAAATCATTCGATTCCGATATTTGTGTTGATATTAATTGTCAACGGCGGACGGTCTTATCGCAAATCTGTCAGTGTCAATGTCACACTACACTGTATAGTTGTGTACAGTGTATTTTCTACTTTTACTTGATTTTTATCCTATTTTGGGCCCTACTCCAGTGTTTTAACATATTAACAATATTCTGCAGCAAACATTTTTAATATTTATTTTACAGCTGCAGTTCTATATCATTCCAGTAGATCAGTTAAAAAATTATATTAATCCTATCGTTATCTGAGAACTTGTGTACATAAGAAGCTCCTTCAGATGCAGTGTTATCTAGTAAGCAGTTGAATTGAGACGCAGAGAGGTCCAGACTCATGAAAAATGAAGTTTGCGGAACATCTAAGTGCTCATATCACGCCAGAATGGCGAAAGCAGTATATCAATTATGAGGTTAGTTATTATGGTTTGCAAGTACTTTAATTTTAATTACTTTAAACGTTTACAATACTTTGTTGTTCCTTAATAAATTTAGTAAAATATTTATATAACTATGTATATGTTATCATATCTCAAATTTTTGTTTATGTTATGTACTTAATACTAGTCACATGAGTAATATATGATTACTGTGAATGAATAATGACATTGATTTACAGATACATCAAGTATTGAGATTCATAAATATGAAGATGATATACAATGATATCATTTTTTATTAAAGAGTTAAATAGTTTATTCATTCTTCAGGGTGTTCTATAAATTTTATTATTATGGTTTTAAAATTACTAATAAAAAAATGAGATACATTTCTGATGATTTAACTTTTATTTCCAATCATTTAATTAAAACAACTATAATATATATTTTTAAATACTTCTCTCTAGGAGATGAAAGCAATGCTTTATACAGCAGTTGAAGAGGCTCCATCAGCTGAAAATGTTGAACCTGAAGTACTTTCAAGACATTTTGCTAACTTTGATGAAACTTTCTTCCATTACTGTGATCTAGAGCTGAAGAAAATTAACACATTCTATTCAGGTATTAAATCATTTATTTATATCAAGAAAAGTTGTGATTGATCTTTGACTTTTTTTAATTTGAATTCCTATGAAATAAAAATCTTGTTGTTAATCTATTGAAGTAATGATAATGAAAGTAACTTTTACTTTTTAAAATAACTCCAGGTAGTTCTAGGATGGATGGGTTGCATATAATAATCACTATTACTTTTAAAAAATATTTTTTCCCTCATCTTTATAGGTTTTACTTATGAATAAGTACTGTTTAATTAATGTTACTACTTGCATTTCATCTTTACTGAAGAACATTAAGAATCACATGTAAAGTTCTGAACAATTAAATTTTAAAAACAAAGCTATAAGATAAACCACTTTTAATTTTTTCATGTTCCGTGTTTGGCACTACCATTTCATATAGATTGATTCTTTAAATAGGAGACAATGTGTTACTGTTTAATGTTCAGTAGATGATATATATAATGTGAAATCATATGGATGGCCTTTAAGATGGGTATTCCATAAGGATCTATTCTTGGTCTTTTTTTATTCCTACTTTATATGAATGATTTGCCGTTTTACATGAAGAAACTAAGCTATTGCACATGCTTGAATTTACTTACCCAAAGTAAAACACCCTTCTCAGCACAACTTAACTCTAAATCTTTGATTATAACTTTTTCACATACTCTTTAACTTAAATTCATGTTTCTGATAAAATTGCTTGTAAAAGTGTTATTGATTTAACTTAAAATTGATTTTTGATTCTGTACCTACTTTTAACAGTGATTGGATGAACATCATATGAACTCTTTTGAAGAGTACTTGATTTCACTTTTTGGCAGCTAAGTTTATGAGTACGATAAAGTTATTATGAAGAAGAAATATAAGCTTTTCACATATATAATTATTTGGTGATATGAATCAGTTTCTGCGAAAGTCAGATGTCAACTTAAACTTCAAAAATATACTATTCTTTATTGCACTTATATGTAAAATACAGAGAGTAACAAACAATAAAATTAGTTAGCAAAGGTGGACTTATCTCTAGAAGAGATCTCTTCCAGTCAACCTAAGTGAGTTAGAGAGATAGTATTAAAATGCAGGCTAAAGTGCAGTAACTCAAATGTAAATACTTAAATAAATATATATTATATATACATATAACAAAACATTATACATATTATATACATAAATATATGTACATACTACTACATACACAAATACATATCTATATAATATAATGCATAATAATAGTAGTTAATATAATTATTGTGGAATAACTTGGGTGAGAAAGTGCTGTTTTATTTTCTTTTTAAAGGCAGTTATAGAGGGGCTTAATTGGATGTCTTTCGGAAGTTTGTTCCAGAGCAATGCGGCATACACCGAAAAAGATTGTAGAGAGAACTTAGTGTTGCTCTTGGGTATGTCAAGCATCGCAGTAATGCAAGGCCGCCTGGAACGAGTAGGAGTAGGGAGAATTTGGAAGCGAGAACGAAGGTATGAAGGAGAATTGGGATCATTAAGAATATTGAAGAGGAATGAAAGGATATGCATATCACGGCGAAGGCGGATTGGGAGCCATTTAAGTTGAGCACGAAAGTTTGATATATGGTCATGCTTACGCAAGCCAAAAATAAAACGAATAGCGAGATTTTGAAGACGCTCTAATTTGTTGAGTTGCTCCTCAGTCACATCTAAATAGCACACATCAGCGTAGTCGAGTATGGGGAGAAGAAGGGACTGAGCAAGCATAATCTTGGTTGTGAAAGGGAGGAAGAATTGGTGACGCTTGAGAGAGTGAAGAGTATAATGCATTCGTTTGCTGACCTCGTTAACATGAGCCGCCCAAGTCATTAAGCCCTTTTACTTTATTACAGTACGGATTGGAACACCCGAGAACTGGACTGTAGGTGTCGAGGTCCAATCGATTTTGCACCTCAGTCGACTACTGCCAAAAATTATGGATTGTGACTTGCAGGGATTCACAAGGAGGCCAAAGGACTCTGCCCACGTTTGGACCCGGACAAGATCCGAGTTCAATGCATCAATAGCTTCATGTAACTCGGTCAGCTCACAATGTCGATATAATTGTAAGTCATCTGCATACAGATGGAAGGGAGAAGAAATGACTTAAGGGAGAAAGTACGCCGCCTTGAGGTACACCAGCAGTAAGATCTAGCCAATCCGATGATGCATCGTTGGTCTTCACGCACTGCTGGCGTCCGAAGAGATAAGAGTGAAATCAGTCTATAACAGTACTAGAAATGTTGAACGCACGAAGAGTTCCCATAAGGATGCCGAGATCCACAGAGCTGAAAGCGCTGCTAAAATCAAGTAAAACCATCACAGTGAGCTTGGTTTTATCCATAGCACCACGAATATCCTCTGTGATATTCAGCAGTGCACCAACTGTACTATGGGAGGAGCGGAAACCGGATTGATAGGGACATAAGAGGTTATTGTGAGATAGATAGGAGTAAAGTTGATTGTGTGCCAATGATTCTATGACTTTGGATAGGATAGGAAGAATTGATATAGGACGGTATTGAGTGAGATACTTAGGATTCGGGGATTTAGGTAGGGGTATGACGAAAGCTTTTTTCCATAAAGACGGGAAGACATTGCGTGTGAATGAGAAGTTTAGAATGTGAGTGATCACAGGTGCAATATCTTCCAGTACCGGAAGAATCATGTCGCGGCTGAGGTCGTCACTACCAATGGCTTTTGTGGAATAATTCATATTTAAAAAAAAAAAAACATTTTGGTAGGTTATTAAACTAAGTAAATCTGTAAAACTATCTTATCTTTTTTAAGATAAGCATAATAAAGAAGTTAACTGCTACTTAAAAGAGAAAAATAATTAAAAGAGTATAACCTAAATTGCTATTTGATAATATTTTATTAATATTAAAATAAGTTTGTGCTTTACTATTGGTGTACTATATACAAGTATTTTTAAGTCTAAATAACTATAGCACACATCATACTAGTAATAATGAAGATTATTTTGTCATATTTATTATGTTTAGTATCTGTTAGTGTGGTTCATTTATTGTGAAATTTTCAAAAAATATTTTGATCGAGATATCATGCTTTATGGCTTTAGATTGTTGATTATACATACATTCATTTTAGAAAGATTTAATCTAAATACTTGACGTTGTTTATACACATACTACATTTAAATATTGTCAATTTCATTTAAACATTTCTGGTTACTACTAATGCCTACAAATATCATAACAACGGTTAAAGAAAATTTTCGTCTCTTATATTACTTATCAACTCCATTAGAAATATGAGCAAGACATATAAAAAATATTTCTAATTTTATTATCACTAGCTTTTGCCGGCTCGCGTAGTTTGCTTATGTACAATTGGACTGCCCGTGAGAGCCTTGTAATATAGGTGAAAGCATAAAGAATTTTTAATCTGAGTAATGCTTCCAAATACAAATAATTGCTCATATTATTTACCTTAAAATGTAAATGTTGTTTTATGAGTCATTGTATTAGCTTTTAATTCCATGTAATATTTTTATTACCACAGGTAATTTAAATAAATAAAATGCATTAATAAACACAATATAATCCTAAGCTCACGCTGATAATACTCGTCTTATTTAATCCATAGGTCAATAGTTGTAATCCATAGGTTGTATAATTCACTTTTATTTTTTTCACAGAGAAATTAGCAGAAGCCACTCGTAAATATGCGACACTACAAAGTGAATTGAAGTCCAGGTTTGATACAATGAAGCCCAAAGCCAGTGGAGACAAAAAAGCAATACCTCGAAGAAAAGTGCAAGAGTTAAAGCTGGCATTTAGTGAATTCTATCTCAGTTTGATATTATTGCAAAATTATCAGAACCTAAACTACACTGGATTTAGAAAAATATTAAAAAAACATGATAAGGTATTTTGGATTTTGTTTATATGAAACAGTGTAATATTAAAGGTCTGTATGACCTTAGGGTATATCCGCCAGTTTATCTGTACAGCCTAACTGAACGTTTAACACTCACTTTTGCAGTTTTTATTTACATATTGTTCCTACATTGTCCATATGATACCTTGCGTATAGCTCAAAGAATCATACACAGTTAATTAAATAATAATCAAATTTAGACAAAACACTCATACAGAAAATTGTAACTAAAACAAGAGATCTTCTGTGAATATCGTGTTTTCTCTTTGCACCTACACAGAAGGATTCGAACCTGCATAGCTTATTGATTCGGACGCTTTAATCTCTACAGACTTCGGGATATCATGTGGAAAACACTTTCTTCCTCATTCATTTAGTTTTAAGATTTTTGTACATGTTTCTTCGCGTTACCTAATTTTATGCGATTTTATTCTACATTATTGTAATATTTAAAAAAAAAGTAAATATGCTAAATAAGGATATATTTAACTTAAAAAAATGTCAAATGAAAATATATTTTTGTCAACAGTTATTAAATGTAAGTAACGGCGCACAATGGCGGGCGGAACATGTGGAAACTTCGCACTTTTACACCAACAAAGATATAGATAGACTCATCAGTGACACAGAAGCCACCGTCACCAATGACTTAGAGGGTGGAGATAGACAGAAAGCCATGAAGAAGCTAAGAGTTCCACCACTTGGGGAACAGCAAAGTCCTTGGACGACGTTCAAAGTTGGACTGTTTTCAGGGTCATTTATTGTATTATCCATAACTGTTGTTTTATCTGGTAAGTATTAAGAAATTACATAAAAATATTATAATTTCGTTTTTAAATGGTATGCACTATGTATACTAAAATTCGTGTCGAATTTTGAGCCTACAGTAACGTTTTAAAATTAAGTATTGATGGGTGAAATGTTGAATTCGACCTAAGACCTAAGAAGTTATATGAATGAACATAAAAAATTGAATCTATACTAATATTATAAAGAAGCAGTGTTTATTTGTTTGAACGCGGTAATCTCAGGAACTACTAATCCGATTTGAAAATTTCTTTTTGCATTAGATAGCCCGTTTATTAAGGAAGGCTATAGGCTATATATCATATAATATATAGTCTATCTATTCCATATTAATCGTTAAAATGTACCTAGGGACGAACCCGAGCGAAGCGAGGGTGAGTCGCTAGTTTATTCATATTCAATATAATTTTTATAAAAATAGTTTTGACGTTCTACTGTTAATCCTTGACCTCTGTTAATGCGATGCACAAAATTAGGATACTGTCCAATAACGATGGAAAATGGCAAGTTCATGGATATTTTTAAACGTACATACATATTTTTCGAAAACTTATTGAATCATCTCAGACGTGCAGGTTTTCTGATGATCTGTTTCTGCACTATATTAACAAGTGGTAATCAAGTTGAAAACGAGATATGCTCACGTATCAAAATTGAGAGACCCGGAATTCGAACCTCCTACCCATGGTTTTCCAAATGAGCACTTACCGTTGGGCTATTGCTGCGATACACTACATAAATGTACATATTTATTTAAGCTTAGCTTTAAATGGCTAAATTCTTAACAATGACTCATAAACTAACCACATCCTATCAATGTTTGTTTAGAATTGGCCAATATTTATGGTCAGCATAAATCGCGTTACGCAAACATCGATAATAAATTTTCCTTCTTATCTCAATAGCCGCCATAGCTAATTCAAACCAAATATACTCAGTTACAAAATTCAGCCAAACTTTAAATGAAAATGTTTATTTTACATGCTTCATGGTAATTATAACGCTTTGCCTAAAAGTTGATAAGAAATGGCAATGAATTAAGTATTTAGTCAATAATACTTTCTTAGATTTACGCGAGTACATTTTAAATAAAACTACCTTTTCGGATTTTTTTGCGAATTATTTTGATTTTTGGTTCCCGACTTTAAACTATTTAACAAAATTATATTAAAATGTTTAAAGTTAAAAGTTAAAAAATATTGTAAGTGACTTTGGTGCCATTTTTCAATTTTTTGAATTAGAGACATCTAACACCACAGTCTCTCCCGTGACCATGATTGCTGTAAAGCATTCGAAACGTCAGGAACCAAAAATCAAAATAAATTCGCGAAAAAATCCGAAAAGATAGTTTTATTTAAAATATTTAGTCAATATTAATACGGCGAAGATTAACAAACAACTTTTTTGGAAGATATGTACTCGTATGTATGTATGTACTCATTCAGCCTCTTTTATCGTCCCTCCCTCCTCCCTTCAATATAAGAGGTATCAGGCTATAGTCCACCACGCTGCCCAAGTGCAAGTTGGCGGAATAAGCATGTTTCTCGAAAACTTGCTAGGTTCTCTCAGACATGCAGGTTTTACGATGAAATGATTCGCACATGAAAATATCAGAGGTGCTGACCCGGGATTTGAACCTGTTTTACTCGGTTTCTCAAGCGAGCGCGTAACTACTCGGCCTATACCTTTAAAGATATATCCTTTCCATTATAACCCGATCAAAACGGGATACGAAATTTTATCCCAATTATCAAGTTTCCAATAGGATCTTAGTCTATAACAAAAAACAAATCGAAGGTCACATATCTTATAGAATTTCTTTCGATAGTTGTCTTTATAGTAAAATAATTTTCCCATGTTTTCTTAGTCCAATAATGTGTCCGCGCGACTATAAGATATCATAAACTTTTTAATGCGTAGTTTTAGACTCATTATTTTATTATTATTGTGTTGTGCTTAATAAGTGTTATTCGATATCGTTTAAAAATACATTGTTGATTCAAAAGTTATAGATAAACTAGCGACTCACCTTCGTTCCGCTCGGTTTCGTCACTAGTTATGTTTTAATGTTTAATATAGATTTCTTAGAAATGAGATATTTTCCCATAGTAAAAAGTATCCTAAATGTTGACCCAGATAACCAGCTATCACCATATCTCTCATCAAAATCTGTCCAGTGGTTTTTTCGTTATGCGTTCCGTACATTTTTCCGAGATAAAAAGTAGCCTATGTACTATTCCAGACTATAATCTATCTCTGTGCCAAATTTCATCTATATCCGTTCAGCCGTTCTGGCGTGAAAGAGTAGCAAACGTCCATACTCACAAACTATCTTTTCGGATTTTTCGCAGATTTAATTTGATTTTTGATTCCCGACACTTTACAGCAACCGAAAAGATAGTTTTATTTAAAATGTCAAATATTCGCGTAAATCTAAGTAAGAGCTGTAGATAAAGTTTAATTATAAAAAAATATTGTTTCAGCACTTTTCCACGAAGGGGGTACTGACAATTTTAAGACCGCTTTTAGATTGTATCGCGGACCGTTCCTTTTAGTAGAATTTATATTTTTTATTGGAATAAATGTATACGGTTGGCGATCGTCTGGAGTGAATCATGTTTTGATATTCGAGTTGGACCCTAGAAAGCATTTGTCTGAACAACATTTGATGGAGTTAGCCTCAATTTTCGGCGTAGTTTGGGCACTGAGTATACTAAGTTTTATATACAGTGCGAGTTTAAGTATACCGCCGTTTGTGAACCCTTTAGCATTAGTTATAATAATGTTGGTGTTTCTTATGAACCCCCTGAGAGTCTTCCGACATGAAGCGCGCTTCTGGTTTTTGAAGATATGTGTAAGTGTTCAGTTTTTCTTTAATTAATATATGTATTATTTTGTTGTCTTTAACTTTAAATTAAATAAATTTAGGTACTTTAAGAGAATATGTAATAAATATTCGCGGGTCATTTCTTTGTTACAAAGCTGATTTTTTCACTTATTTGACAGTCATTGTTCTATACACTGTGTATTTTTTTTTTCTGAGGCCTCTGCTATCAATGCTGTAGAACAAGACAGTTTTCGCCAGTATACATAAATAACATTAATCTACGTAGGTACCATAGATGCCAATTACCAGATAAAAATAATGTCAGCATGTCATAAATGACAATTACCTATATATAGATATCGGTCAGAATCGTGAGCACAAACTATTGGTGGTTGATAAGATTCTCCTAGTGGCTGTTTTGAGAATTAATATCAGTCGGAACTAATTAGTTCCGTACTTTATCGTCTGTGGATATTTTGGTTTATACTTAACCTATAGTTTTTTTAACCCGACTGCTTTACGCTTGTATATTGCTTGAAATCTGCAATTATTTTCTGTTCATGATTCGTACCAATTACTATATGATGTCTTCCTGGCCGATTCCGGCCACGGCGGCCAATCTCACTTAGACTAGCCAACTGCGCAGGAGATATTATAGTGCACAAGTGTACGCGTAGGCACCACTTTCTATTCCCGTTACTCTTAAATTCCGATAGGACGATTATTCGACACGTCCGGTGCTCTGAACGGTCACTTGATCTCTATCAGGCGCATTACCGACGGCTAATTAAACTTGGCCTGACTCGGGACTAGAACCCAAGAACTCCGGATGTGTAGCCGTACATGCTAGCCACTATACCACTGAGGCAGCTAGTATAATATATTCCATGTAATAAACTAGCAATCTGACCTGGCTCCGTCTGGTGGCAATTTTCTAATTAACATTATCACAAAGGATTGATTCCTATTTGAGACAAGAAGGTGGCAAGAATTGGGAACATTTGCACATTTTTAATCTGCCCCGTTTTATTCCTATAGAGGATGAGTTTCAAAAATCATTAAATTTTGTTTAAAAGTTCCTAATTTTTTAAGTCAAAACGTTGAAAACGATATTTTAAATGAAACTATCTTTTCGGATTAATTAGCGTATTCAATTCCCGTCTATATAATAACTTTTGAGACGTCTAAAATCTTAGACATTCTTTCCCGTGACCATGATTGCTGTAAAAATTCGAAATATCAAGAACCTAAAATGAAATTAAATCCGCCAAAAAATCAGAAAAGATGTCAAATATTTGCGTAAATCTACGAGAGTATAAAGTACAAATTAATATTTAAGCAGTTATATTTATTTTCTATGGGAAATTTTATATACCTTCCTGTTCCAGGGTCGTATACTAGCGGCCCCCTTTCTGCCAGTGCTATTCGCGGACTTCTGGCTGGCGGACCAGTGGAATTCCTTCACTTACGCCTTCCTAGACTTCCATTACTTGATCGCCTTCTATGTGGCTGGTGCTGACTGGTTTGTTGTTAATGGTATGTATCCTGGTAACTACTTGTTTTGGCCTATGACTTTGCTTGTGTGGGAGTTTTGGGATGAAGTTAAGAACATCGCGCTGTACTCGAGTTTCAGTTGCAGTTAAAATGTAAGAAAAATATAAAAAAAAACTTGGATAAAGAACTTACATAGGCCTCTACGAGTATAGCGTATTATAGCAGGTTGAGTTTCGGCCCCTTAATTTAATTTTATGAAAAAAATCCAATCAATCGAGTGCTCCGTTAATGTATGAATGAAGTAAACACCACTGAAGCAACAAATCTAATATATAAAATTCTCGTGTCACAGTGTTTGTAACAAAACTCTTCCGAAATGGTTTGACCGATTCTTATGAAATTTTGTGTATATATTCAGTAGATCTGAGAATAGAACGTAAACTTTTTTTCATACCCCTAAGTGATTGGGTGGTCCACCCCAAAATTCTTTCTTTTTCATTTTTGGATAAAAAAAATATTTTAATTTTTTTATGATTTGACATTAAAAATACATACAAACCTAAATTTTCATATTATATATATTATATTATTATAATATTATTATATTATATTATATTACTGTCTTACTGCAAGACCTATACCTATAGTCAAATGACTACGCGTGGAAACGCGGATGTAGACCATTCCTTATAGAGTCCAAAAATTGTTTATTAAAACCCATAACTTTTAGGTGCATTTGAAACAACAAAATGGTTCATATTCACCCGAGCCGCAGTGAACGTAATACCGGCGTGGACCAGATTCTGGCAATGTCTGCGACGGTATAGAGACAGTAAAGAAGCCTTTCCGCATTTAGTGAACGCGGGAAAGTATTCTACAACGTTCTTTGTGGTGCTTTTCTCTACGATGCGGACTATTTATAGTGGTAAGTTTGATATTTTATAATTCAGCTCTCTATATTAACATCGCACTGCTGGGAGTATTCCTCCCTTACGATGTTTTCCTTCACTGTAAGAATCATTCAAAGAAAGTGGTAATCATCTTGGAAATTATTCGCACATGATAATATCAGAGGTCAATCGGTTTCAAAGCGAGTGCGTTACCACCGGGCTACTTTTCTTTTTTATGGCAGATGGGAAACGGCTGTAAGATTGATGGGTAGAACTAACTTACCACGACATGGAACTACAGCGCTTAAATATCTACGCCTTTCATCGAGAAAATTAGTATTTTGAAACAATTGCCAAGCTTCAAAACTTACCAGTTAAGTACAGATTACTTCGCCAATGTCACGTAGAATGGAGAAGATACAAAGGTGATTTGGTGTTTTTGACAAGACTTGTATTTTATAGCATTTCTGTCATAATCAAAATCGATCGTCGTAGGGGTTTTCATACTGTGATATTGTTGTGATTAATATTATATGTTACTAGCGACTCACCCTCGCTTCGTTCGTGTCCGTCCCTACTTACGTTTTTACGTTTAGTACCGATTTCTCAGAGATGAGATATTTTTCCACAGTAAAAAGTATCCTATATGTTGACCCGGATAACCCGCTATCATTATACCAAATTTCATCAAAATCCCTCCAATGGTTTCTCCGTGATGCGGTAACAGACAGACAGATAGATAAAAATTCTAAAAACTATAGATTCGGCCTCTGTATCAATAATAATGTCTATTTCAATAAGATTTTCCAAAAAAATATTTAATGTACAGATTCGACTTAGTTACAGTTTTATTATATGTGTAGATTTATTTTCAATTAACAGTAGACTACGAGAACTCGTACGACAATCCGTTCCTATATCCATGGCTGGCGTGCCAGTTCGTCTCGTCCACCTACACGTACACGTGGGATGTGAAGATGGACTGGGGCCTCCTCAGCGTGGGGCCCTCGGCGGAGAACAGCTTCCTGAGGGACGAGATTGTTTATAGTCCCGGGGTGAGTTGGATTTTGTTGGTTTTGGTTTTCGAAAAGGATCTGGTCTTGTCTTTTTAACCGACTTCCAAAAAGGAGAATTTTCTCAATTCATCGGAATCTTTTTTTTTATGTGTGTATTTTCACCGATTACTCAAAGATGGTCTGAACCGGTTTGGAAAATTCTATTTTTGTTTCAAAGGGTATACCTACTTCCCAGGTGGTCCCATTTTATAAAAATCGATCGAGCAGTTTTTAAATAATCAACAATAAATCATTTTTAAATAAATGGCTTAATCGAATATGTTATAATTAAAAAACTTTCTTCTAACAAATTACCTGCTTACTAAAATTGGAAAAATAAAAACTTAAGAAAAACCGACTTCCAGGCACTAAAAAACAAGTTTTTTTACTTTTTAGTGCCTGGAAGTGGTTTTTTTTTAATTTTTAACATTTGTGTTACTTTTTTTAAAGCTTTTTGTTTTTAAATGTGTCTAGTAAGCGATTGGAGTTGAATTATATTGTGGTATTAAGTAAGGCAGATCAAAAAAAAGTAGGAAAAAATTAAAAGTGTCCATCCTCCGTTCAAAAACGTATTTATGGACATTTTTATACAAGAAATATGCTTTTTGTAGTTTCGTAATGTCAAAACATCAAAATGCCAAAATCTTTATAAAAATACTCATTACTCGGCTTACAGTTATAAAATTTCATTTAATATTATTTGTTTTCAGTTCTACTACTTTGCCATAATAGAAGATCTAGTTCTCCGATTTATTTGGGCGCCATCTTTCTTCCTTACAGAAAATAAGATAGTCAGTGGCGAAACAATGGTGTCTATACTTGCACCGCTTGAAGTCTTTAGGTAAGAAAACTATCTTAGATTTATAAGATACTAGCGACTCACCCTCGCTTGGCTAGGGTTCGTCCGTAGTTACATATTTTTTTTGAGCGGAACCTTTATTCTTTTACTGAAATAAAAGTAACCTAACTTACTCCTTATAACATCAACTACCTACTAGTGAAAGTCCCGTCAAAATCGGCATAGCGGTTTCGAAGATTAGCCGGAACAAACAGACTGACAACGTTTTTAAATATTGTGTTTTTCTTATAAATACCGTATATAATTCCATATGTATTTGGTAAAAAGCTGTTAATTTGACATTACAAACAGACACTTTCTTTTTTATTTATCTGTATACATTTTATGTAAGATGTTTGGATTTTTTCGCACTATGTTTGCTGTAAAGAAATCGAAACGTCGCGTCGGGAACGAAAAACCAAATTAATTAGTAGTTCATAACTAAAACATCGATGGTTTTCTTTTTAAGAGCAAAACAACAAAAGTTACAAAAATGTAAAATGTGAGAAGTAGTACGCTGACTCTTTAACTTTTGAAGTATGCGTCGCAAAATAATGAAGAAAAATGCAAATAAGAGATAAGAGGAAAATATTTTTTAAAAATACCTTTTTTGTAGATATGAGATATTTTCTATTTTAGGGGTTTGGTCGCAAAGTTAACTTTGCTTTTCATAGTAATACTGTGAAATACAAACTTATTTATGCTGTCAATAACATAAATTTCCTAGATGGGTAACCACGGACCCTCTTTGTACGAATCTGACTCGCACTTTTTCGATTTGTGTATTGTTCACATTAAAATTTTCACTTTCATTTATAAAAATATGAAATTGTTTTTAGGCCATTTTATTTAAAAAATAATTGTTTATTACTTTAAATTGCAGACGTTTCATTTGGAACTTCTTCCGTCTAGAGAACGAGCATTTGAACAACTGCGGTAAATTCCGAGCCGTAAGAGATATTTCCGTGGCGCCATTGGACTCTTCAGACCAGGCTTTGATTATTCGCATGATGGACTTGCCCGATGGAGTTGTTAATAGGTAAATGTTATAAATAAATATCTTGGGACATTAACACACAGCACCATCTAGTTCCATGGTAAGCTACAAGCTTTTGTTAGGGATACCAGATGGATGATACACTACACATATGTAACTTTAAATACATACATATTATAAATATAAACACCCATGACTGGAGCACAAACATTGATGGTCATCACACAAATGAATGCCCCCAGCGAGACTCGAACCCGCGACCGCTGGCACAGCAAGTAGGCTCACTACAGACACTGTCGTCAAATTACTTTATATTTGTTTATAATAATATATTTATTACTATTTATCCACCTTATTTTCCTATAAGTGGTATACATAAATTATAATAATAATTAATATAACCTGTTAAATCTAATCTCAAAACTCGTATAAAAAGGAAAAAATAATAATATAATTTTACAATTTACCTAATTGTACCTAATTTGTACCAAGTGTGGTAATACATAAGGTACAGTTTACATAGATCAACTTGTCTACATATATAGCTTTGATATTTCTATCTTTGATAGAAGAAAATCTATGTAAACGTGTCTTAGATAAGATAATTTACGACTATTTACTATATAATAATATTTGATGATTTTTCATAGATATTTAGATATAGACCCGCAGTAAAAAGTATCCTATATGTTAACCGGATAACCAACTATCATCATACCAAATTTCATCCAAATCTGTCCAGTGGTTTTCTCGTGATGCGATCACCGACTGACAGAATGACAAAAAATCTAATAACTATATATTCGGCCTCTGTATCGATAATAATGACAATTTTAATAAGATTTTCCAAAAAACTATTTAATGTACAGATTTGACTCAGTTTGAATTTTATTATATGTATAGATAACAATTTTTATATATTTTCAAGGGTAACGAAGAAGAAGCATCAAAAAAAGACAAAGGAGAATGACAAAAAGCCATTAATGAAGAAGGAGTCCATACAAGACCTTCAAATGGAACTCGACTTGTCCTCCAAAATGTTATAACTAACTGTGATATGTCTCCTTGATATTATTTATAAGCAATGTTTAAAGTATTATTGAATTATATTTATAAATATTCTAGAATGTTCTTGTTTTATTTTTTAGTTAGTCGCTTTGAATTTGAACTAAACAATTATCACATTTATCTAGTACTATCGAGCGACTCATCCTCGCTTCGCTCGGGTTGGTCCCTAAGATCGTTTTAACAGTTAGTATAGAAAAGATAGACTAATATATATATATATATGTGTGTGTGTGTGTGTGTGTGTGTACACAGACAGGTATGATGAGTTGTTGTGGGTGTATTATAACGTGTTTTCCTGTGAAAATGAGATTATCTCCCGCGGTAAAAAAGGCCTATGTCACTCTCCAGCCCTCCAACTGTAATGCACACAAAAAATCACGCCAATTCGTCACACTGTTTCGATGAGAAATAAGGACAAACAAACAAACACTTTAACATTTATAATATTAAAAATTAAAATAAGAACGGATATGAATGAATTATCTGTTACTAAGAAATACTTAACTAACACGTTTTTGAACATTTTTGCATGCTGACAATTAAATTTAATGTATTTTTTTGGTATAATGTAGATTATAAATACATAGGAAATGTCATGAAAAAAAAACATATTAATTAGTGCTTTTATTAATATATAATTTTATTTACACTTTAAATAATAAAATCTGCATATAGTATTCTAAATAATACTTTAGATTACTTACAATGCTTCTTCATGCTGAATGATATCTATCAGACTGATAAGTTTTATTTGAAAAGGGCCGATTGTTCGATCATCGAATAACGGAACAAATAACTAAGTTGCGAATTAACATAACCAACTGCTAAAAGGACTAATAAAATTGTTGCATTTTTCAATGGCCAAATAAATGTGTTGTTGGTGTTTTATAGTTAGGGACATTACAATTTACAACTGTATTTTGTAGGAAGGTATAGGTACCTAGCACCTACCTACTTACTTTTTATTATTATTACTACCTACCTACTTAGATCACTATTATTTATTGTAAAAACTAGCTGGAACTTATTTTTGTGTTGTTTTAAAAGTCTGAAACGGAGATGAAATTCTCTTGAATCGCACATAGCAAACTGGTCGGGCCTTGGTCTGATTACTCTTTGTTTCCTTTCAGTATTTAAACATTTATACATTATAATGTCTTCTTCAATTACCAGATCGTCAACAGTAACGAAAATTTCCATAATTTTGATATTACTTTGGAAAAAGAAGAAATAACCTCAAACTAAACCTCAATGGATCTAGTTGTATCTATTTAATAGACGTTTATCTGGCCATCCAAGAGGCAGATAGATTTATTTATTCCTCAGTTAGGGCTTTTAACGACCAGATAGAGCATATCTGGCGATTGAAAACATGCAATATTTTGTTATCTGTCTAATAAGTACTATCTAACTGTTTATCTGAGGATTGAAAAATCGGCCCTAAATAAAATTTTGTTCTTAAAACATAGTTTCATAATGAAAAAACCATATAGATGAGAACTTTAATAGGTAATTAAACAATTAACAATAGGAATTATGCGTGTGATTTAAATAGAATTGAAATATTTTTTGTTGCCTTTTTAACATTTTTTAACGTAATTTCTTTTTGATTAAGAAAATAATTAAAGTGCAAATATAGGTGGGAAATTCAAAGCAAACTAACGTTGAAACGCAACGTCATTAGTAAGACCGAATGTGACGTCAAAGTCTATAATAACAGAGCCAGTGTTACCAATTTAGCGATTTTGTCGCTAAAAATTGCTTAAGCATAAGTCGTCATTTTCACAAGACAGGTAAAATGTCGCTTTCAGCTAACTTCATCATGTCGCTTTTCGACTGTCGGTGTATTATATAACTAAAATAAAAAAAACACGCATATTCCCTATTATGACATATAATAATTTATTGCTAAAATATAATAGAATTTCGCTTGGTTAGCTATAAATATAATAAAAAATTATTTCACTTAAATCCTAACTGCTTATAAGAATGCCAGCGTATCTATTATTTTTATGTTAAAGCGTTGTCTTTTATAAAATATAATATTAATATAAATAAGTGGCATATAGAGGCCATCTATATCTTAACAAAACATAATGTATATTTTATAACAACTTTACTTTCATAGTGAAGACAATTGCAACATTTATAAAATTTGTTAAAGGCATCTTTGTATTCCTTCATACAACAGCAAGAGATCTTGTCATCTTCTTATCTGTAATGACATCATACAATGAATTCAACAATGTGAGTAACAACTTAGGAAATTTTGTTAATAGAATTTAGTTCTACGTCATAATGACACTTTTATGAACCAACCGCGAAAATTAATCTACGAAGTTTCTATAAAGAGAGAAATTGGAAAAAAATCCATGGAAAAATGTAAAAAAGCAATTTTTTTAATCGGGCCTACTACACACTTGATTTGACAGAACGAGGTCCGTCGATTCTGCTAGTATTTAATATTATTAGCGTTTAAGAAATTAAGTCGATAATGCAGATAATTAAAATACAACTACTATGTATGTTTAACCGAATAAAGAAAAAAGTTTAAAAAGAAAAATATTTCTTAAATGCTATGAAGAATATGCATAATCAGCCAAAAATCATGTCGCATAGTGGAGTTCAAAAGATGTATTGCTACCTTGTATTTTAAAACTTTACATTGTATCTTTGAAAATTTAAAGATCTGTTCAATTTGGAACGCACTGATAAAAGAACTTAGCAGTGAGTACTCGCGAAACCATAATTTAAAAGGTTTCTACTGTAATTATAACCACTACCACATTCAATTACGTTCTTAGTCATTACATTATTATTTTAGGTAGTTTAAAGCTATTTCCTTAATGAGGTTAACAAAACCCTGTATTGGTACTAGGTAGCCATTTTCAATGTTTTAATATTTGACCTTTATTTAGCAAATTGGGACACATTTCATATACTTATATATTGTGATTTTATACAATTTAATCCAAGACCAAAGCTGAAGTACTAATTAGACACTATCAGTTGGCATAAAGTTACATAAATTGACTCCTGTAAAGAATAACATTGTAACTCAGTATTGAATAAATATTTTGAAGTCGAAAGATTAGTCGCTATTATTCTTAGCTATGTTTGATGAAAATCGGTCCAAGATGGTTGGGGTCTTTTTTTTATTTTTAATTTATCACTTGTTTTAATTTATCAAAGACTTAGTTATAATATTGTTCCTTGCTGTTCAAATCATCTCACCTAAGAACGTAAAGCTTCAAGTCGTGATTGCATTTCATCCAGCTCACTCTCGTCTACTTCTTCCTTCTCCGGTTCCTTGCTGGTGGATGGAGCTCCCACTGCTGTGGGTGGTGCCGGTGCTTCCCCGAGCTTGCCTTGTGTAAGTTCCCAAAGGACCTAGAAGTTTTACAAAAAAGAAAATATTGAATAGTGAAAGTAAAATATGGTGTTAGTATAAAAACATTAGTATAAAATATTCAATTCTATACCAAATATATTTGACTAAAATATTTACCAATATTCTCTTTAAGTTGAGAGGCTTAGCTAATATGTATGTATAAGTATATATTTTAAATAAATATATTATATACATATATTATACATATATGTGATTATTACTGTTATTTCTAGTATATTTATTTCTTGCACTATATTGCACGCTGACATCTTTTTCCACATCCAGGGGTTGACTGGAAGAGATCTTTTTCAGAGATAAGTCCACCTTTGTTAATTAATTTTATTGTTTATTTTTTTCTGTATTACATTTAAAGTGCAATAAAGAATATAATAATACACCAATTCTCATTAACTAGTTTTTATAAACTAACTAGTTTCAGAACTTTAAGGTTTTATTTAATTAAATAGCAAAATAATGCAAAACCTTAAAACATGTTTCTTATAAGGAGGCAAATCACGATTGCACACTAACCACATTATTTACTTTTCTTATAAGTATCAAATAGTAACTATATAACAGTATAATGTTCAAAAGACGCTTTATTTTAAAAATATAGTTATAGGATGTAATAGGATCCCATCTAGATTTTAGGAGTTCAAAACATATGTGTATAATTAGTTCTTAAAGCAATAATAGTTAAGATCAATGCTTTATAATCTATATAAAAAACATTAACAAATGTCTGTTTGTTAGTAATATATATCATATATATATATATATATATATATATTTAAACTACTAAATTCTGTCCGTACCCTTGTTTAGAAAAGCCTTTGACTTGTATAGAACAAAATAACAGTTTTAATTCTAATTATACCTTATCGACTTCACTTTGCGCCGCTTCTTCCATTTCCTCCTCATCCTCCATCCCAGACATGGTCTCATCCAGCATCTCTTCAATAATACCAGCCTTCATCATTTCCTTGCTGAGTTCCTGCATAGTTTGGGCTATCTCAGGAAGACGGAGTAAAGCCTGCATTGCTTGCATTACCTGAATAGAGTAATTTTTTCCACACATTCACATTTGGATAATAAGTTAAAATACAAATTTGAAGGTAATGAAATGTACTTGGCTGTTTTATTGCTGATTGAGGTTTATTTGAAAGAAAATTAAAATTAGAAAAAGGCGAAGACTTAAATAGGATGAGTGGTGACTATAAAGGGTGTAGGTGAGGGTGAGTTGCTAGTAATTAATAAAATCTATACTTATTATAAAAATAAGTCCCCCGGCCGCGTCTTTCTGTCCTCCTGTCTGTCTGTACGCGATAAACTCGAAAACTACTGAACGGATTTTTATACGGTTTTCAACAATAGAAAGAGTAATTCTTGAGGAAGGTTTAGGTATATAATTTATTATGCTTTTATGTAAATTAGCTGAAATACGGCGACAAATGTTGAAGAGGTCGCAAAAAATCTCGCCAAATGGGAACTTTCCACGCGAACGCCGCGTAAACTAGCAAAGATACAGTTAAGTAATGTACTAGAGAATTCAAAATCTATAAAAATGCTACAAAAAAGTCCGCGATAGCATATCTCTATCTCTTACGGTTGACTTACAATAACCACTTTTATGTTAACATTTTTAATTAAAAAACATTACGTTATTTTCAAAGTTATTTTCTTTAGTTCGGTATTAATCCTTATCCAAATGAATATTTTAGTTAGCTTAGTCATTTAATGCAGATTAAAATTGCTCTTTACACTAAATCAATCAGATGAATAGTTTTTGAGATATCGTTGTTAGAAGTAATTAGTAGCGAAACATTTTTAATGCTTGGCGAGCATTGAGATGCCTACGGCGAGTCCATCCCCTCTGCCCCGCATCGCTCGACCGCCTGCTCAAGCTATATAAACCGGGCGATGTAGCGCGCGATCCTAGGATACTTTTTACCGCGGGAAAATATCTTATTTCTGAGGAAAAATACAAAAACTGCAATGTAAGAGTATACTAATATGTAACACCTAAGAATTTAGTTTTTGGTCATCTGAACGCGGGCGGAGCCGCGGGCAATGCTAGTACTATATAATATAACACATATCTATACAGATAAATAAAATTGAAGTATCTGTTTATAATTTCAAAGAAATAGCTTTTTACTAAATGCATATGATATTATATACTTATGAGAAAAACACATTTTTTTTATTTTTGTGTTCTGTTTGTTACTGCTTATCTCTGAAACAGCTGGACTAATTTGGACGGGACTTTCGCTGGCGGGTAGCTGATGTTAAAAAGAGTAACTGAGCCTAAGTTTATTATGAAAAAAGAATTAAGATTCTACTCAAAAACATTAAAATTTACCTATGAACAAATGAAGGGAGGGTATATAATTGTACATTTAATTAAATAATCTACATAAACATAGTACTTAATAATGATAAAATAAAATCATTATCATTTTAAATAACAAATGTTTTAGGTCTAGTTATTACTGTTATGAAATTGTCAAAAATGTCCCGAGATTATGAGAATTAAACATGAAGTTAACAAAATTAAATGCTCATAAAATTTACTTGAATGTATGGATAAATAAAAAGTATAATAATTACCTCTGTTGATTTTGCCAGTGAACCTGCTACCCTTAATGTTGCTGTAAAATAATTATATAATAAACATTTTGAAATTCACAATTATTTTCACAAATATATTATTAAACGCTAGTCAATATATAATTACTTGCAATGGTATGCCATTTTATGTGCATAAAAAGTAGCTTTAATGAAGTCTTCGGCATAAACTCTTTGCAAAACATTACACCAAGCACTCATGGTTATGATATATGTAATCCTGTACTGTACACATCATCTATACACATCATCTACAGGTAAATATATTTGAAGTGTTTGTTTTTAATGTGAATACAACAGCTTTTTACTAAATGCATATTAAATTATAATATATGGTACTTAGTCTCATATATACTATCTCCATCCTAAATTTCTATCAAATCTGTTGAGCCATTTACAGTTTTAAAAAGTAAAAAATATAGATACACTCACTACTTTTACACTTATACTATTTATGAAATTTATAAACATTTTTATTCTATGCATAATATAAATTTTAATAATAAAAAAAAGAAGAAATTAAATATCTATTACCTAATTGATTTTTCATTTGCATTTGTACTGAATTTAGATGTGCCTTGCTTGTATAAATTTTACTAATTGCTTTACGTGATCTTATAACTTCTTTAGCTAATATTGTACAAACTTGCTTGTCATTTTTTGCAGCTGCTTCTTTTAATGATCGTTTTATTTTCTCTTCTTCTCTTTGAATTGCTGTAATGAACACAAATGTAATAATATCATAAATATTAATTTAGTAACAAAACTTGGATGGCAATAGTTTGTCTAATAGGTACAAATAAATAATTATTGTTTTTGAATAAATTACCTCTGATTTGTCTGTCTAAGTTGTATCCTTCTTTTCGTAGTTTATGAGACCATTCATTTACCTAAAATAGGAAAATAACTAATGAAAAATTTGGTTAAATTTAGCCATTCTCAATTCTGTTGTCATTGCTTTAAATATACCATTTCTTTGGGATTGCGGTCAGGAGATTTTCCAAATAGACCCATTTTTGTTAAAATTTAAGTCAAATTTCAAGGAAATAGAAAAAGCTAAATGCAAATTGTTTAGATGTTTTGACAATTAAGAATTACCAGATGACATTGACTGTTGACATTAGAAAACCGAGATGATCATAGAGTATATTGCTACATATATAAAGAGATGATCTCATCGATGTATCATCACCATATTGATTTTTTTTAAATATTTCGATATACTAAACCTTATCAATTAAACATAATGAAATAATAAACTTAATTATTCTTGGATGGGCTTATTATTAAAAATATTTTTAAATATTTTGTAATAAATTCAATTTAGTCTGCTACTGTGTGGACTACTTACTGCAAGTCAACTGACAATTGACATTTGCCGGTTAATGTGATAAAGACATAAACATAAAAAAATATTTTTATAAAATATTAATATTGTTTTAACCATATTTGTATTTTAAATAGTGTTCGTTGTGGATTTCAACATATCCAGTAACTACCTAAGGTACAGTAACCCTAATTTTATTTGTCTTGTTTACAATGTTGAAAAGGTGCAATCCGATAGCTAAAAAATTCTTTTTTTAGCTCAATGTTGGAATGCATTGCATCGTTATTTCTTACGTTATCGACGTTCGTTTTTGAAAATTTGCTAAATATAATATAATCATCAAATCTTACGCTTAAACAAAATAATTTGTAATTTATTTTGTATCATGCAAAACAATCAAAGAATATGATTACATGAGGTGTTAATGTTTGTATTTTAGTTAGATTAGATTATTTATTTATTATCGCTTCGCTCGAGTTTGCCTCTAGGAAAACAAATACCTATCCCACAGGAACCGTACGTTTTCCCGGAATAAAAAGTAGCCTATGTATTATTCCAGACTTTAATTATATAATCTATCTCTGTGCCAAATTTCATCCAGATCAGTTCAGCCGTTCTGACGTGAAAGAGTAACAAACATCCATACTTACAAACTTTCACATTATAACATTATCATGCATAAAATCTTAAATTGTTATAAGTGTTGCCTATCACTTGCTGTTGCTTGCATTGCCTTTACGTCACTTTACTTTCCTATATTATAATAATCGTTATAATATTATTACAAAAATAATAATTATAAGAATAATTACAAAAAAACTACACAATGTAAAAACTAAAGGTTTTGTTGTACTATCTATTTTAAGTATCTCTATTGAGATTATAGTCTTTTAAGCATCTCTATTGAAATACTTAAAACATCAACTTCAAAAATTACAAATTAAGTATCTATATAAATTATATTATTATTTCTATTAACTTTCCTTACTTTTTTGTGCACATGCTTCTGCCTAGAGCTTCATTAATATGAAGTCTTTTATTTATGATTTTTACAATCTTAGGCAGCTCTATTTATCGATAAGGTAGGAACTTGAGGGTGCGAATTAGTTTAAAATATCCATCACAAGTATACTTATGCAATATTTATAGCTTAGTTTGGAAAAGTCAATTTTGCCACATACAAAAACCACAAACAAAGAATTTACTTGTATTCTTATGTGATAACTTTAGGATACAATTTTCATTAATCATTTAACTTTTAAATAAATATTAACTACTGATTTATTAAATATAATTTTTTGTTACATAAACAACCGGACCAAACTGAGACAACTTTGTATTATAATAAAGACTAGGCAAACTCGAGTATGCAAACATCACAATACACATGCCCTTCGAAAACTATTTAGGTTGCCTCACACTTACAGGTTTCCTCATAATGTTTTCCTCCGCCATATTCGTAAAAGGTGGGCAAATCTTTCAACTTTGTCTTATTTTAATGTAATTTTGTCTTTTACTCGCTTTCATTTATACTGCAGACAGGATAAGGGACATTTTTTTCACCAGTCTCGAAATACTGCATGTGAATGATGCAGGTATCTATCTATACATGCACTTTGATTCAAATTGATTTGAACAGTTAATTAAATGATTATGAGTTATTGTCAATGTTGTTATGAACACGAACGTGTACGTCGTATGGAAATCGAATCTGTGACCTAATGTTATGTGCTAGACCCATTTATAACTGGGCCTAGAAGATATGTAGATATGTAAAAAATAAATACAAAAAATATAATAACAACAACTTTAAACATAAACGGTCATTGCCCCTTTCTACGATTCTATAACTACCCTATGTCTGGAAATTGCGATCACCGCCACCATTGTCGTACAATCATTCCTTTATGATTCAATTCGCCCACTTTATTCATATATCTGTGTCACGTTGTACTTGTTTTTTTCTGCTTTTTGTCAGGTCAAGCTAAAGGTCAACATTTATTTGGTTTAGTAAAGTGACGAACATCGATACTAGCGAGCTCTAGCGGCTCTTACACCCCATGACAAAACTTCTCCCTCATACTGCACTTAGACCTTTCCTAATCTCATTAAAAATAACCTATCGTTATTTCGATCGTATCGTACTTTCGATATAATTAAAGTGACGAGTTAAAACGCCAGTAAAATCTCTCTTAAAATCGATTTAGTTTTAGTTTTCCGAGTTTTCTTTGAACTTTATGGTATAGTGTGGTAACTACATTAAAAATAAATCTATGTTAACTAAAATAGTTATGGATATGTAAATACATGGCCATATACTCATATATTATTATATACAATATTTTTTTCGTTTAGTTTCAGATTTTTCAATAAAACTATCTTTTCTCATTTATCGCGACTTTTTTTTTGGTTCCCAACATTTCGAATGCCTTAGTTGAGAGGATTGATCACTGACAAGATTGGCTACATCTTAAAGCGTGCTTAATTAAAACTTATTACAAGCAGCCAAAGAAAATTAGTCAGTTCATACCACCTGTCAATGACACAGATGAGTCTACAAGCTTAATTTTGATTGTGGACTCTCTTATATCGGACAAACCCAAACACTTATTAGAACTCAGGTAAAAGATATCGCGTATAACTGATGTGAAGCACCGCCGAAACACAATACTCCATCCCTTCGATCTGTAACCTACCTAAGTGTTTTATTTGATAATTTTATAAAAATACGCGCAATAAAATACAGTGAAATGCAAAAAGAAACTTTCAGTGACTTTAGCTGCTTTTTATAATTATTGTGATGAGTCACAAAATGCAAACTTATATTTTTATTACTAGCATTGCCCGCGGCTCCGCCCGCGATAAGATGGCCAAAAACCAAATTCTTAGGTTTTACATATTAGTTTACATTGCAGTTTTTGTATTTTTTCTCAGAATTGAGATATTTTCCCGCGGTAAAAAGTATCCTATATGTTGACCCGGATAACCACCTATCACCAGACCAAATTTCATCAAAATCCCTCCAGGGGTTTTTCTGTGATGCGGTAACAGACAGACATTCAAAAATTCTAAAAACTATAGATTCGGCCTCTGTATCGAAAATAATATTTATTTCAATAAGATTTTTAAAAAAAATAATTATTGTACAGATTGGGCTCAGTTACAATTTTATTATATGTACAGATTAAAACTATTTTTTTTATATTTTATTACTAGTATTTTCCTTTAAAAAGAATATTTTTTATTTAATATTTTTAAATCAGAACATATCTAGCTGTTTGAGATCTATTTTTTAACCTTTATCAATTAAATTGATACATTAAATAAAACATCATGAATTGATATTTATTTGATTAGGTTATTTTTACCCATTAAGACCCACGTTGCAGGGCATTTGCCAGAAAAAAGAAAATTACAACATAAGATTAGGTATCAATTTGGACGGAAATTACGACATGCTAATTAGTTGGTAGCAAAACTTAACCCTAATAACGCTGGATATTATAATTACGATTATCATAATCGCACACATATAGCAAAAATGGAATGATTTTTACTAGGAATCATATAACGCTTAAGCTATCAAAATCGTTATTTTATTTTTTACAATTTATCTATTTCCTTTTATTGTTGTTTCCTTTATTTATTCATTTTAAACTAAGTGACTCGCTTACTCGCTATACTCGCTTCGCTCTGGTTCGTCCCTAAATGGTACGTTTCAGCGGTTAGTGTGGATGGATAGAATATGTATTATATTACTGCTCCGCTTCCTTGGGTAGTAGCATGATAATTGATAACTTATAGCCTATAAACGAAAGTAGGTATGTAATGCAATAATGTTTTTTTAAATGGGATTAATAGTTTCTGACATTAGCGCGTTGAAACAAACAAAAAAACAATCTCTGCATCTTTATAATATTAGTACACATTAGTATTATACTACAGGACTATCTATAAGTATACAATTCATATAAACGATGTGAAAATTTCACACAATGACAAAACCATAGATTGCAAAGCGCAACTTACAAAACAATGACCGACATCCGACCTTATGCAATGCATATATGTATAGTGACATAGATCAACCAAATGTGTTAATCGCTTCACGCTAATTCAATTACATACAAAATATTTTTTAAATGTATTAATTTAGTGTATTTACGCGAATAAAGAAATTTTTTACTGCTTACTCTTTGCAACAAATATCAAATGGGAGCCTCTTCATCTTCAACCACCAGGAAGTTAACCCTGTTTTCTAATTACAGAGCATAATACCGCACTTTGGCGCACAATGCCGAAGTGTGCTAATCCTTACTAACAATAATTGTAAATAAAATTTTGATCAATGCCACCTTGAAGAAAAAACACTTTATATTTTGTGCTACATACTGAGTTGGTATCTTTGCGCGCATCACGCCAAAGCAGTACTTTTCAAAATGTTCGATTGTGCGGAGCGTTGCTGCTTGCATAAAACAGGGGTTTTATGATCTATATTTGCAAAAAATCGGGCGTTTGGCAAAAAATAAGAATGCTCAGTATAACAGCTATTAGAAGAAGAAGAATTAATTCAACGTAATTGCCCCCGTCGCCGTCACCCACCTGCCGCGCCCCGCGCCCGCCCTAGCTACCACGCGCCCCCGGCAGGCCCCTCTTTCCGCCCGCCGCTAACTAATTAGATAAGTTT